TTGGATGGTGGAGGAGAGGAAGAAGAAAGAGATTAGGGCTGCTAAAAAGGTAACACAAGCATTACACCAACTCCCCCTTTGTTTTATATATGTATGTGTTTTTTCCATTGACTTTTTATTTTGATATGCATGTCATAGAGTGCAATTGGGGCTGGACCAAACAGCATAGGAAACAAAAAGTTTCCTCAAGAGCAAGAAGGTTGTCTGCCATTCAGCAAGCGCCCACAGCCACAGTCTTCCTCAGCTCAGCATTCCTCAGCTCAGCCATCCTCAAGTCAGCCTTCCTCAAGTCAGCCTGCCTCAAGTCATCCTGCCTCAAGCCAACCAAAAAGAAAGACAAGGTCTTCCTCAAGTCAGCCTACAACAGCCACATGTGTTGTAACAAGGGCCAGGCTGCAATCCCTCAACAACCTTACTCAGTGATGTACTCATGCTGGATATCAAACATTATGTCTGTTGAACAATTTCAAACTTTTATTATGTACTCATGACTGGTTATGTAACTTGCTAGTTTTTTAGTGGCTTCCCTTAACAAATTTGAACAATTAGATATTGAATTGTAATGGTTGCATGGCTTTGATTGCCATTGAAACATGTTGAAGTAAGGTTCTTTTGTCAACCTGTACTTGAACTATCTTAGTGTTTCACATATTTCCCATGTTTTAATGTTTCACATGTTTAAATCCTTTTCCAATGTTTAAACATTCTCAATTTAACAACTTAGACAAGGCATAAATAGGTTGATTAAAAGACATATTTATAACACTTCAAGTCATTACAAGAAATTATAACTACTTAATACAGCTTACTATTACACACCCCTAGCCATTAGGAAAACTACACCCATTGACAAACCTATACAAATGGCCATGCCCACCCAACCAAAACAGCTGATTGAAGACACCTTCCCTTCATTGCACTCCCTGTTCATTCTCTTCCTGTCAGCGTTCAAGGCCTTGCATCTCATCTTCACATTATCAACTTCATTAAGTAGGCACCTCCTTTGGCCACTGATTTCATCAACTTCCCTTTTCAATTCATTAACTTCACCCTTTAGCAGCTTCTTATCCAACAACAGGTTGTTGATAACCCCTGTTTGCCAATCTGTTCCATTAGGTTGATCAACCCATTCGAAAGCTTTGCAACCCCTTGTTTCTGTTATTGGGTCATAAAACTTACATGATATGAACTTCTTGCCTGGATTCTCCCTTGTCCAGCTAGTGAGCTTGGCCATTGGCACACCACACTTACATTTTCTGGCCTCAGGAGGGGAAGAGCTAACAAACGACATAATCTGCATCAATTTTAGATCGACAGTCACATTTACAGATTTGTACACTAACGAATTAACATTGACAGCAACAAAATTCATTTTTAATTTCATAATACGAAAAGCCCCAAATTCAATTTCTGACGAACCCTAATTTCGCAATTGGGCATTTAGATGCGTACATAACATAATCCAACCATTAATCCGAGTACGAAACAATTGCAAATAATAATTGAAGAGAATTTAAACCATAATTACCAAACAACCGAACAATTGACCGCACTCACCTGTTTCAGCAGCTTCAATCTGTTCCTCTTCTCAAAAATCGTGGAAGAATCGTGCAAGAATTGTTTCAAGTATCGTGCAACAATGCAATGCGCTGCTGCTATTCAATAAGAACAACGATTTCGTTCATTGGGGGAGAATCGTGCAAGAATGGTTCTTATATATCGTGCAAGAATCGTGGAAGAATGGTTCTTATATACAGATCTTTTAAAAATATATCCGTTGGGGTGGGCCCCACTAACAGTTCTGTTAACGGAAGATGGATTTTGGTGTTAACTTCCAAGTTTTATATCTTTGGGAGGTGTTAAAATAAAAGTTTTTTTTTGGGGGGTGTTAAAAAACATTTTCAGCCTTTTGTAAGGTGTTAAAATCCAAAATTTCCTAAAAAAATTGTGACAATTTACACGGACAACATTACTACTTTTTTTTTCTTATGTAAATTATTAACATCAAAGTAGATTATGCAAATGGGTTGATTTGAAACTTGCAGTTTAATGATGGGGTGATTAAAAAGGTCTAAGACATTGGCATTTCTAACGACGTCTAGTGTCATGTAAACCCCCTCATTACGCCACATCACACCACTCAACTACTCATTACGCCACGTAGCTCTCATTCTATTTGTTTTTTTTTTAAGAAGTCCTAAAGGTCACTAAATTTCATTAATATAAGCCACACGGCATCTACAATTGACAGTAAACGATAATGAAAACGAATTTAACAAAATCAAACAAGAATTTATCGGAGGAGGCCTAAGAATCCAAATACATAAATATAACAATTCAGCATATTCTCGATTCGTTGTATCATACAACTTTTTGAGTGGATCCGTTGTCGTTTCACAATTTTGTGAGAAAATAAATTCTTGTGCTGATTCCGTAACCCGAATTCGAGCCATAATCAATAGTAGCCCTGCACAACCGGAGACCAAATTAATTAAGCACAAATAAAACATTGTATTTCGAAGGAGTACGAAAAACCTTGTCTTTCGAAGGAGACCGAAAAAACCTTGTATTTCGAAGAAGATAAATAATTTCTTTCGAGGGAGATATTATTGTAACCTAAAACAAAAGGCTTAAAAGAAAAATAAAGATTGGGGTTTTCCATCGGTGAAAACCGATGGAAGCCCCTTTAAAATTGACAATGGAGACTAGGTTTAGGAGAGAGAAGAGAGAAAAGGAGGCTAGGGTTTAGAATTAATGCCTTTAATCATTCTATTTGTTTTCCATTGCATGTCATGCACTCATCATTATATTAAAAAATAATAAATTCTCCATAAGATTTGAACACGTAACCTCTAAGTCTAGAACTAAGTTTGTTACCACTAAGCTATGTGATTTTTTATGTAATTTTTTTTAATACAATATATTAATAAGTAGGAAATGACAATATGAGCAACAAATTTAATACAAGAAATTAAAATTGAATCATAAATTACAATGTATATTCATAATCAGTTCCATGTAATAACCCAGGGCATCGCCCGGGTCCAAAAACTAGTTTAGGATTAAATGCAACTAATGTGGATACTATAATAGCAAATCCAATTGTTGTAGTTGAAGAGTAGTTTGTGATTTTTAAAACTATTTCTTTTGCTTTTGCAAGTCAATGACTGAACTATAAATGTCTTTTAGAGGTAGCAATCAGATCGTTTGAATTGGGTGTAGTCAAGTCATGTTTAGTTCAAGTCTTGTTCGGGTAATAGATTAGTTTGGGATGCGTTGGGGTTAATTTTAAGGGTTTATTAATGGAATATGTGTGTTAATAAAACATTTTATGTTAAAAAAAAATATATTGGGCCAACCCAAATTAGAATACTTGTAAACCGTAGGTCATTTAATCAAACATTAGTCAATTTTACCAAATTATGATGTAGATCCAAAGCTTATTAAGTGACTTAGACTCTTTGTGTGAACTGATTGTGGTGTAAGAAAGTTTAGAAAATACTTCCTCCGTTTTCTTTTACTTGCAACACTTCCCTAAAAAGGAAATGTCACAATACTTGTAACACACTATAAAAGGAAAGTTATTTTAGGGAAAACTATATTATTTCCCTTATTTAAAGCACATGACCCACTAAATTACACTCCTAACAACCACTCATCCAATTTTAAAGTTTATTATATCATGTAAACCCCACTTTTCTTAATTACCGCGTTAAAGGGTGTGTTGTATCTAAAAGAAAACGGAGGAAGTATAATAGAGATGTGGTAAGAAAAAGGTGGGCAAGTGTAAGAAAATACAAATAAGAGCAAGATTAGCGCAGTCTCATCGTAAGACTTTAATCCATTGCCACATTAGCTTTTTAGATTATTTTTTTTTCTAATTTATAATTATGTTAAGACTCCTTAAGACTCGATAAAATTTATGTCTTCAATCGCTTGGACTCATTTTTTTTACATATAAATTAAATTATTAAAGTTTTTTTTAAAAAAAATAAAAAATTTGAATGTTAAATTGAGTCTGATGAAGTTGAGTCTTGAATTTTCAAGACTCCACCTCATATTTTATTAAGACCAAACTTCATAAATGCTTAAAAATAATAGAGTCTCGTCTTAAGACCGCAAAATTAAAAAATGATGATGTCATCTAAAATCTTAAGACCTAGGGCTAATACTGCTCTAACATAAATAAACTATGGGAAGGAGTAGTAATTAGTAAAGTATATGTTTGTTAAATGAATAAAGCGAAAGTGTTTACATAATCTGCTTTTAAAATCAAGATTATGGTTCAAATTATTTGAAATGAAAGGGGGTTATATCATAAAATAAAAGTAGTATTGAGTCGGGTAAAACATACGGTCTTCCAATATATAAACTCAAAACACTATGAGGACTTTATTGTCTTAATCTTAATTACTTGTTTACGTTAAAATTATATCATACCAGAAAAATGCAAATCAATTGAGAAAAATAGTATAAAGATAACACTTCAAATCAAATCCAAATTAAACTAGAGAGATGCATATTATCATATCACATAAGACTAAATCATATATAATTCAAGTCAAAATACCTTAAATTAGATAAAGAGAACAAAATTTACCAATGAAATTATTTAAGAAGTTTGATTTATATTTTTTTGAATACACATTGATATTTTTACTTGCTATTACATTAATAACAACTTAGCTTTACTTATCATATCCAAAATAAATAAATAATGATTATAAATTTATTTCAACCCACCTATAATAAAGAAAGTAAATTGTTTAATGGTACAAAAAATTTTTACTCAAGTCACATAATTATATTTGCAAATTAATTATTAGCTTAAAATTATTGTGCTCTCTCTCTCTCTCTCTCACCCTCCTCCCTTTCTCACACCAATTGCAAGCCACACCAACCACAATACCCTACAAAAATAGGCTACTTTACCAAATAAAGTTGGTTAATGGAGTATGCATTATATTAATTAGGTTTTTTGTATCTATTATCACAACAAAATTATCATGTTAAGGTGGTGAAAACTAAAAATCTTGCCAAATTTATTAGTGGACATTAGACAAAGATGGTTAGTAAGTAATTAAGGTCATTTCAATCTCAGCTAAAATTTTCATCACCAAGGAAAAAAAAAAAGAAAAAAAACATGAAAAAAAATCAATAATTCCAACTTTTATTTTTCCTTATCCGTGATTTTGGACTTTTTATTTGGGCATGATTATCTATTGATTATATTTATATTAGACATCACCTCCTTTGAATAGCGTGCCCCAAATTCTCATCTTTCCTCCTCACCCTCAAATTCTCTGATCTGATCAATATTATTACTATTATTGCACTAAAATTCATAGTTTAAACAAAATCAAATCAGAAATTAAAAGCATTAAAAAGTTTCAATCTTTCCAATCACCTAGTTGCAGAAAAGCTTCAAAACAGCATCAATGGAGGCTCCTGCTCAACGTCGGTTGCAAGCTATTCAATCCCACCTTCTTCCTCTTTCCATTGACGATGATCCAAACTCTATTATCACCCGCAGTCAAACTGCTGGAGAATTTTACCTAGGTTTCTCTCTCTTCTCTTGTTTTCTCTCATTCTAATTTGCTCTACCATAGTATTTAATGAATTATGAATGTATATATTTATGTGGGTGCATTGAAAGTTGCAATCTTTTTTTGTTGGGAGAAAAGGGTTTCCATACCCTTTTGAAGTATTCTGTTAATCAGTTAATGGAGTTGAATAAACTGGGCCCCCTTTTTTAGAGGTTCATGGATGATTGATTGGATCGTGTGATAGGATTTTTTTCACTGTATGTTAAAAACAAGTAGTTGGAAAGTGAAAGGGGGGAGAATTTGTATTGTTAAGATTCTTGATATGTTGGTCGTCCCTAATTGGGTTAAATTGTTTTTGGGATTTTCTGATGATGGTTTGTTAGGTTACTTTTTCTGGGGTTTCTGGAATTTTGCTTTTACTCGTAGTTTCTGGGAATTTGCTTTACTGATTGTTTAAAATATGTGCTTTGTGATTGATTACCGTTAATCGGCTAGCTTTATGCCTTTTTTCAAGATACCAATAACAATGTGTCATGGACTAATTGTTCTGAGTTGAATATGTACTGCCCGTTTATTGGGAATTTCAGATGGGAATCGAAAGAAAAGTTCATGAATAGTAATTTTTTTTGTAATTTATATGATTTGGTCCTTTTGGAAATTTGAAAATGACTCTATGTTGAAGCATCTTACAAGGAGAGCTTATTACATTTAAGCTTTTACAAGTATGTTTTAATTATTAAAACATCATCCAATCTATGGTTAAAGTTTTAGCATATGTATTGGCTCAATTTACATTTGTACAGTTGGTTAAGCTTCTTTTTTTTCTTCTCTTCCCAATTTGACCTTCCTGTCAAAAGTGTTTTCTTCAAGCTTTTAGAAAGTTAGAACTTGAATATAGGTAGGGGAACGACGTCAGAGGATTTTCTTTCCATTGGCAGAGATTGGAATTATTAAGTGGCGAACAATGTGTTTATGGCTGTTATGAGTTTTGATTCTGTTGGAAGATGTGGTTCAAGGCTTGATTTTGATTTTGCCAATGTCAGTTTATGGGGGTAGTGAAGTTCTTCAGTTAAGCAAATTATGATCTGGAATTCTAGTGGATAAGGGGATTCTCAGTGGCAAGTTTCACAGAGTATCATAAGAATCACAGAAAATGCAATACCTCATGTAGGATTAACTGGAAGTTTGAATTTTGAACAACGTATTTTCATTGTGTTCACACAATGCCATTTCTTCACCTTAGATTAGAGATTTTGGTGGAATAGTACTTTAGTAGCAAAGTGTGGGATAGTTTATTCTTTACTAGTTGCCTTTTGTTGCCTAGGAGGAGTGGGCATGTTACCTGCTTTGGGGAAGCAGTTGTCTTATGGACTAAGGATGTTGTGGGCTGTGGACGTCAATTGGCTTTGTACAATGCCTGTGCATAAGGTTCAATCAAATGGTTATGGAATTAAACTATTAAAGGAAGAATTTATGATGTATGGCCAAACAATTGTAGCCATATTTTTGGTTATAACCTATGTGATTTGGAAAGGCTAATAATGCTTCATATTATCAAATTCTGTTGTCAGTTGATCTTACCTCTGTACAATTTCATACAAGAACTATTTTCAGTATTATTAAGTCAAAGATCTTTGTGCTGGAAAATAAGACACATAGGTGACATAGCTGATGTCAGAGCTGAACATGTCATTACTAAGTTGAGGAGAGGAAATGAAGAATTTAAAAGGACTAGATTTAAATGATTTTAGTTTACAGATGCTTTTTAATGCAGTTAAAGATATTTGAATTTGAGATTTTTTTTTTTATTGTCTTTTTAAGTTACAGAGATTTGTTACAACAAGTAAAATTGCTATTGACTACTGTCTTTCTTAATTTCATATTTATGTGATAATATACTCATACACAGGTACAGAAATATAGAATGTATCAGTTTATTGGGAATATGTGATCAAACAACCTTGTATTTTCTACTTTGTAGGTGAAAAGTATAGTGCAGTCCTTCCTGAAAAGTTACAGACAGGAAAGTGGAATGTGTACAGGTAGGCTATCTTGTGTTGTGTTAGTTTTTTCTGTATATATCACTTCTGCTTCTTTTTTTCTGTGTATCTTCTTACCCCTGTGCTCATTTATTTATCTGTATTAACTGAGACATGGCTTTATCATACTTTTGAGGCAGGTCTGCTCGGTACCCTGTGAATCTTGTCACTAGATTCCCAAACCATCCAGAGATTGGGACATTGCATGAGAATTTTGTGTGAGACTCTTTCATATATTTGTTTGTGGCACGTTACGTATTATTTAGAGTAATCTTGCAGAACTAACGCTATCTAATTGTGTAATGTTCATGCAGACATGCAGTTGACAGTTTCCCAGATTACAAATATTTGGGTACAAGGGTGCGTGTGGATGGAACAGTTGGAGAGTATGTTGACAGATTCAAACTGATCTCTCATACTGGCTTGTGCCAGTAGGTTTATATACACCATAACAATTATGTCTGATCATATTTTTCTGTCTAATTCTAAAGGTACAAATGGATGACTTATGGAGAAGTTAGCAATGCTCGGTCTGCTGTAGGATCTGCTCTTCAGAACTATGGTCTGTCAAAAGTGAGTTTTCCTATCACCCCCAACTCTACTTGAGTCCTAAAGTTTACCAGAATTACAATTAGTGGGAAAGAACTTAAGGGCTCTGCCAAATTCTTCTGGAACTTTGTCAATGCATTGATTGTGCTTCATTCATTATTATTACCTGATCCTCAAATTTCATACTTGAGCTGTGAATTTTTCTGCCTAGTCATCTGATCTACCCTTTGAATTGTATTTCTACTATATTACACATTTATACCCATAAGTAACTGTTGGCTGTCCATTTCCTACAGGGCATGAGCGTGGGACTTTATTTTATCAATAGACCAGAATGGGTGGTTGTGGATCATGCCTGCTCAGCTTATTCATATATTTCAGTTCCTTTGTATGATACACTTGGTATTTACCTCCTCAATCTGTAATTCTGTATGCTTCTAGAATGGTTTTACATTATTCACTCTCTCTTGGATTCTGATATTTGTTTGCTGAACCACCTTCAGGTCCAGATGCTGTTAAGTATATTGTTAATCATGCAGATGTGCAGGCCATCTTTTGTGTTCCAGAAACATTGAATTCTGTGAGTCTTCTTTCTGAGTTCTTGCCCACCATTTTGTGCTGACTGCAATGTAGTGACATGAAGCAGAAAGAGATTTGGGGCTAAGGTATCTAGGAGAAATAGTGCACACTGCACAGGAGTCCCTGTATAATGAAGAAAACTTAAAGTTGAGTTAAGGTGCCAAATTGGTGTACTAGTTAAATGAGAAGATAATAATTCTGGCAGCTTAGGATTTTATACCCTTGAAAATTTCTTAAAGGGAATGAAAAATCACCCTAGGGTCATAACGTGAAGGGATTTTCTATTTTTATAAACTAATAAGCTGGTGAGCTCTGGAGTTGTTTTATATCCATGGTATCAGGGACAAATAATAGTTATGTAAAAGTTTTGTGTAGAACGGACTCACGTGAGTCCGGTCATACAAACAAGAAAAAAATTGAAGAATAAAAATCTTAATGGTCAGAAATTAGATAATAATAGTCAGATAATAGATTATAATGGTCAGAAATTAGATTATAATGGTCATAAATTAGATAATAATGGTTAGATATTAGATTATAATGGTCAGAAATTAGATAATAATAGTCCGATATTACATTATAATGGTCAGCAATTAGATTATAATGGTCAGAAATTAGAATATAAAAATCAGATTTTAGATAATATTGATAGGTATTAGATAATATTGGTCAGGTATTAAATTATATTGGTCAGGTAAAAAAAAACCAAACACCCATCCTATCAACTCCTCCCCTGTAGTACCGTCCACCACTCACTGAAGAAATCAAAGAAGAAGGAACTGGCACTGTTAGATAAGGTACTGAAATTGCTTGGAGTAAGATAAAAGTATTACCAGGAAAAGAAGAGTCTTGAAAATCTTGAGGAATTATGTGTAGAAGCTAGACTATTGAAGTCGTTAGACCATGAAAACATTACGAAGGCTTCCATTATTGGATTGACGATGACCAGAAAGTCGTCAACATGATTACTGAGTATTGTTCTTCCGTAAATCTGACAGACTACAGAGAGATAATCTTGTAAGAAATACGATGATCAAGAATTGGTGTAGACAGATTTTAAGCGCGTTACATTATTTTCATAGTCATAAAACCGGACTCACGTGAGTCCGTTCTACGCAAAACCTTCTAAATTGTTATAGGAGGGAGTGAGGGACTTTTTCTTTTTTTTTTTAGAAAGTAGAAAATCTCAACCTACTTAAAGAAAAGATAACTTATTTTTAAAAAAAATGAAAGATGGGATGGGGGCGGGGCAAGGAAGCTTTGTTCTTGGCCAATATAAGCTTTTTGCTGGCAAGCATGAGAATTTATTAAGATTGACTAGCTTTGTTACTGATCAGTAATTATATGTTGTATTTATAGCAATTACTATTCTTGGTTGTTTTTCAAAATTGTGATAAAATTTGAAGCAATGACAATTAACTATTACCGTGATTTATTATCGGTTTGTTGTTAAATTGTTACCAGATTAAGGGATGTGCTTATCTGTGTTTTTGTGAGGAATATTTTATGAGTTCCTTGGCTTCAGTGCTTCTTTGTTCTTTTTGAAATTACAAAACTTTGCTTCCAGCATTTCATGAATACAGATATTTACGTTCTGCTTGTTGATGCAGTTGTTGAGCTTTTTGTCAGAGATTCCAACTGTGCGTGTTATAGTGGTATGTTCTTACTTGTTCTTTGTATACAACATGTTGTATGATGAAGTTTGATTATATCTCAAGTTTTCATACCATGCAATCTTCACAGGTAGTAGGCGGGGTGGATGAGCACTTGCCCTCTCTTCCTCAGGCAGCAGGAGTTAAACTAGTATCTTATTCAAAGCTATTAAGTCAGGTAAAATCAATATATTTTTTGAGTAATTGCCTTTTTTGGTTTCTGAAATAATATGTCCAGTTGGACTTCTAATTTCTTTCCTTCTAATAAAATTATCCTATTCTTAAAAAAGGAAAATCAACTGTATGTGTAAAGGAAGTCTGGAAAATCTCCTTGAAGCATGTCTGTTATTCTTCCCTTGTATTTCAACTGGAACCAAAGAATACACCATTCTTTGGCTTCGAGCTGTAGTGGTTTCTTGTAAAGGGCTCTTTATATATAATCCGCTGTTTTTAATTTCCTCGCTGTTATTGTGGGGTAGGCCTCCTTATGTCCAATTTCACTTACTGCACTTGGTCAATTAGAGACCTTGGGGCAACTGTGATCTTCTAAAAAGTTTGTTACATGATCTGCTGATTCCTTAGGTTTCTGTGATCCTTTTTGATTAAAATGGCGACATGCTTCTTTTTCCGATCTATCTAAAGACTGATTAGCATAGTGTATGTGTTTATTGATGAATGTATCTTTTCAGGGCCGAGCTAAAATTCAACCATTTTCCCCTCCTACCCCGGATGATGTTGCCACAATATGTTATACTAGTGGTACAACTGGTACTCCAAAGGTACAAATTATCCTCTCCTTCTGATGAAACTTTATATTTTATTAATGGCTTATATCTGGGTTCATCTTGAAGGGAGTTGTATTGGCACACGGAAATTTAATTGCAAATACTGCTGGTGTGAGCACTAATGTCAACTTTTGCTCCTCTGATGTGTAAGTAAATGAAATTGTTCTGCAGAATTTCCTAATAATTATCCTCTCGCACTTTTATGTTTGTTAACTTGCTAAATTTGGCAGCTATATATCCTATCTTCCATTGGCACACATTTATGAACGAGCCAACCAAATCTTGGTAGCCTACAATGGCTGTGCTGTTGGCTTTTATCAAGGGGTACTTGACAAAACTTGTTGTTTCATATTATTGTGGAATGTTGGATAATGCTTTTTCTGTTCTTTCTCCTGATTATGGCCCTTTTTTCCAGTGATATATTTCGATGAACTTTTGGCTTTCTTGTCAAAATTTTGATATAGGGGCTGTTATGTCCTTTGTTTTTTTTTTCCTCTAGGACAACTTGAAACTGATGGATGATCTGCTGGCATTGCGACCAACCATTTTTTGTAGTGTTCCTCGGCTCTACAACAGAATATATGCTGGGTAAATTAGAGTTGACTTCCATTTAGAATTCTAACATTGGGCTTGTATGTGGACTCTGACATAGTGTTTGTGTTTTAGAATTATCAACGCTGTAAAGACTTCTGGGGCTCTGAAAGAAAAGCTTTTCAACGTTGCCTATAACTCAAAGAAGCAAGCAATAATAAATGGTATTGAGAACCAGCCCCTGCATTTTCTTTCCTTCCCCATTATCTTGCATTATCCTGTATGATACATTGACTGATACCTATGTGTTTGTCTATGGGTGTATCACTTGTGTAATAATACCGTTTGTAAGATGTTAGGATTTTCCAAAAGAAAAAACAACTTTAGACAAGATATGAACAAATCAAAGGCATGAAAAAATATCAACATTGACAAACACGATTTTATGTGGAAAACCTCTCCCTTGCCAAAAGAGAGGAGAAATCACACTAAAATACCTTGAGCATTAACTCCCACTAGCGATCTCTCAATTCACCAAAAAATTACAAATCTCTCATTTAGCTGGGCTCTCAGGGTTTTTGTAACTCTCTCGTATTATGCAATAGACTAACCTAAGGAGGGGCAATATTGGTAGTCTAGTATTATTAGGTTATAGTCTTTAGCTTTAGTATTAATAGAGAGAGGGAGGAAAGGGAAATATAGGCAGAAATTTGTATTGAAAACCTTAGAGAGTTATGGTCTCAAGCCATTGTTAGAGAGTTATAGCCTCAAGTTATTTTGAGAATAATATCCTAAAGCTATTAAACCTATCATTTTGTAAACCTTTTGCCATTTCCAATCGATATTCAAGCTTCCATCTCTATTATTTTGTCTATTTCTTACCTGCTTCACTTTGTAGCATCTTCATACTTGATCCGTAACCCGAAACCGACATGTCTTGGACCTAACATTTTGTGCTAGGCTTGCGAACTAACCTAAGATATGATCATTTAGGGATGGTCTGGGTTTGAGAAGGTAGAAGTGAATGTAAATTTTGCAAGTGACCTAAAAACATTCTTGAGACGGTAGGTGACTATTTGATCTTTGATCCTCCCCGCCCTTAACTCCTTGACCAGAGAAAAGGTTAAAAAAAGTTTGGCGATGAAGTAAATATTGCATCTCTTTCTTTTTTTGTAGTAGATGGTGGTATCTTATTATTCTCTTGATCTGATAATAGTGCCTTTAAGTAAGCGTATCCAATTGTCGGAAGCATATGATTTGTAGTGTTACTTGTTTATCTTCGTACTTATTCAGATGCTATATTTCAGGGAAAAATCCGTCGCAAATCTGGGACAAGCTAGTATTCAATAAAATTAAGGCCAAGCTTGGTGGCAGAGTTCGCTTAATGGCTTCTGGCGCTTCACCATTATCCTCTGACGTCATGGACTTTCTGAAAGTGTAAGTTAATCATGAAATGATAGTCATGCTTATTGAAGTTCTTTATTTAAAGCAATCTTTAGTGTTGATTATAGCAAATATGGTATTTTGGCGTTAATGTGTGCATCTCTTTAATAATAGGTGCTTTGGTTGCCGAGTACTTGAAGGATATGGTATGACTGAGACCTCCTGTGTCATAAGCTCAATGGATGCAGATGACAACATGTCAGGTCATGTTGGTTCCCCTAATCCTGCTTGCGGTAAGTGCACTTTTGCTCGAATGACATGAAGTAATATTAGGTAGATTGGCTGCTAGAAATTAATCTTGACCACTTAGACTAATCAGCTATATGACCCCCAAAAAAAAAGGTTATCAGTTTGGCTTGTTCCAAACTGTCTTGTCTCTTCGTTTGTATCAGAGCTTTCTGGTGAACTCCAATTCATAGGGGAAAATTGCCAAATCCTTTCAAGTTTATGTCATTTTTTTGTTCATATTATTTTCCTGATAACATTTTTATGGCTTATTGCAAGTCATGCATTACAAGAAAAGTGATTATTTTTTGCTTTTAATGCAATTTCAATTCCAGAGGTGAAACTGGTTGATGTTCCTGAAATGAATTACACATCTGACGATCAGCCATATCCTCGTGGTGAAATATGTGTTCGGGGCCCCATTATTTTCAAAGGCTACTATAAAGATGAAGTGCAGACGTACTGAATTTCTTTTAATACTATTATTATTATTTTTTTATGTTCAGTCTTGTTACACTTAAGAAACCTGATTATCATTTTCTGTTCCAGGAGAGAAGTAATTGATGATGATGGTTGGCTTCACACTGGAGATATTGGGTTGTGGTTACCTGGAGGTCGCCTCAAGATCATAGACAGGTGAGTTGTGCTTAATTCAGAACATTGTCAATGACTTGGTAACCATGCACCTTTGATATCAAATAGCAGTTTAATTTGTTAAATCACCTGTAGAACTACTATAAAGAAGATAATTTAGGCCTTGCCCTTCAATTTGATACTCCCTCCGCCCCTAAATTTTAAATTAATATCTACTTGTTGCATGCAGACCAAGAAGAACGCAAAGTTAAAGGTTAAATTGGATTATATAATGTATCTAGCCATTCTATGTCCCTTAGTTTTGTTTGCTGACACATCTATCCACAATTAGTTTCCTGGTATCAGCCGTTTACTCTAGAACTAGCCTTTTTTTATTTTTCCTTGCAACATTTGGTTAATGTGCGGAAATTAAAGAAAGTTGAAATATTGGGGTAGTGGTCCACGAACCCCATGTAATTAGCAAAAGAGATAAGAGAAATTTATATATTAGTAGAGATATCAACACATGCCATAACTGGATATTTTTTTTTTTAGTAATACACAAGTTCCATGAAAATAACCAAAGGAAGAAATTCTAGAATTTCAGATCATTCCTGCCAGATTAAGACTTATTTATTACAGACTTTGGCAGACTAAGGGTTCTCTCTTGCAAATTATTAAAATCTCTGCCTTTTGGATATTCAGTCAAAGGATGTGAAGGATGCTAGACTGTGTTTGGAGATTTACTGGGGTTTTTTCTTGTACATCCTTTCTTATTTGCTTGAATCGACCATTTGACCACCTATGTATCCAGTTATTCCAGTAGCAACCTCTATCTAAGAGGCAAAGGTCCCTCTTATGGTGAGAGCAATTGTGTGGATGTTAGCTTTGGGAAGATTTTTAACATGAATGATATGTTGGCTGGGGATGGCTATCCTCACCTAACGATTGCTTGCCTTGCTGAACTACTATTGAATCTTGTTCAAATATTTCCATCGCTGTGACATGGCCTGTGACCATTGGAGATGGCTCTTTGCGGTGTATAGAGTGGATTGGCTTTTTCTGTTGATACACAAGAGTGGTTACAGATTTCCTTTTATGGGTTAGGTATGGAAAAATAGAAGAAAACGCTTAGTGAATGTCTATGATAGCTATTTTGTAGAGTGTCTGGCTGGAACGGAATGCCCATGTTTCTGGAGTTGCTTTGTCCTGTGTGAATCATTAGAAGTAATGCTATTGTGTCTCTATGGGCTTAGCCGCTTAGGCGGCTAGGGTTGTCAAAGATAATCTAGCCAAGAAGATAGAAAGGAACTAGGCTATTTTATAAATTTACTTTTGTTTTCTTGGTTAGGTTACCATGCCCTCGTGCTGTACAACTCTTCTATTGCTTTCGTAAAGCAGTTTTTCTCTTAACAATTATGTTAAATTCGAAGCGCTCTGCCGTTATTGAGCATTGAATTCAGATCTCTAACTAAATGTGTGAGTCCAGCTGAAATAATGAAATAACATTAGAGCAGAGGGATGACAAGGTAGAATCTTAAACTCATGGATGGGAAACTTTACTAAGGTTGTGTTTGGTTCAAGCAAAAACACTATAAACTGTATAATAATTTAATTGGAAATCAGGTTTCAAATTTCAAATTTCTTTTATGGTTCTTTTATAGAAAGTAAGAGTGGAAAAAAGGGAAAATGGAGGGGAGGGAATGGAGAGGAGGGAATAGGGAGGAAATTACGTTATTCCTTCCTTACAAAAGAAATATATATTCCATGTTGATGAAGTTTATAGTTTAAACGACCCATTTGCCAAATAAAAGGGAATCAAATATTCTGTTGTAAGCATTTATTACTCTTAATATGAGCATATATGCTTATGCTGCTTGTGTTTACGTATATGCCAAGTCCAGGAATCAAATCTCTGATAATCCCTTTTTTTTTTTTTTTTTTTGGGTTTACGTCTATTGGGAGGTAAAAAAATCCCTATTTACTCAGAATTGCAAAGGTTTCTTGGATTTGATAAATTGCTTACACCTACCTATATGGTGAATTTATTGTGATGATATTTAAATGTATTGTGTTGAGTTTTTGTTGATGATGGCTCCTTCTGTTTTACTGACTTAATGAAGAAATTAAAGGCTTAATATCCGACTTTGATATAGGTTTTTTTGGCGAGATAATTAACCTTTTTATTGCACTGGTCAGGCATTTTTTTTTCCAATTATGCTGTTGATATTTTTGATGAAATAATTTTTTCTTATGGCAGGAAAAAAAATATTTTCAAATTAGCTCAAGGAGAGTACATAGCACCAGAGAAAATTGAGAACGTATATGCCAAGTGCAGATTCGTAGCACAGTGCTTTGTATATGGTATGATCATACAAGGCACCGTTACTTTTAACCTCACTGTTATAATTTATTATTCTTATGCTTGAGTGCTTGACATTTTCACAGGTGACAGCTTAAATTCCTATTTGGTAGCAGTTGTCGCTGTCGAGCCAGATGCATTAAAGGATTGGGCTTCAGGGGAGGGCATCAAGGTAGTTTGTAATATGATTGTAGTTCCTGACATATTGCAATGCAAAGTTAGTGTTAATAAAACATATTTGCTTGACACCTAATTCTTTTAAAGTTTAAAAGAATTAGGTGTCAAGCTATGTTACTCAAACTCGTCACTTAACCTCAAATACCCGTGTCGGACCCTCGACACTCGGACATGGGTATGACACTTGGATACTTCATTTTAGTTCAAAATGATAGAAATTTTTCACAAGCCGAGTCGGACACTTGGACAAGTACCTGTGTCGGACATGGGTATTTGACTATCCGGGTCCGAGTAACATAGTTTTAAATCATCTTAAAGTGCTGGGCTGTAAGCCTGTAAACATATCCTGAACTTAACTTTATCATCATCAATATGCTCTTTTAGGGTATTTGATTCCTGGATCTGAGTAGCCATTGCTGATTTGAGGTGATGTAAAAGATTTAGACTAGTGTGAAACATGGTAAATTATTTACATTTTATGGATGCCTTTCCAGGAGGCTACATAAGAGCTCCTGTTTGTATCCAGGCTCTCTTAGAAATAGAAGAATGGGAAAAGTACCAAATTACTCAAATTTGTTGGTTTGTTATTTACATTTGTATTTGCACAATATTGGTGATTATACTTGTACCATCTTATATTTTATCAATGTGCTCTCTCAAGGTCCATAAAGTGCTATGGATCGTGTTTTTTGGTTGATATGTAAGGCAGCTGATAGTCCTGATACTAGTTTATATCTGTTAATGGTAATTTGAATTGCATGGATGCAGTATGAGGATCTAGGACAGCTGTGTAGACATCCAAGAGCAAAGGCTGCAGTTCTTGCTGATATGGATGCTTTGGGAAGAGAGGCTGGGGTAAGTACTTCCATGGACTCCTGGTTTATTTTATTCAACCTTGCAGTTTGACCCTTTTCTAACTTCTCTTGATGGCTTTCAGTTGAGAGGGTTTGAATTCGTGAAAGCTGTGACCTTGGTACCGGAACCATTTACCGTCGAAAACGGTCTTCTTACTCCAACACTAAAGGTTATTTTCTTCTCCCCTTTAACGTGTTTGTTACTGTAAAAGTAGGAGTCTTTTCACATCTTCTGATTGTCGTTTTGAGTTTTGAGACTCACTCCTACTCTTAAGTAAAGATAATAAATGGTTGACATTATGCATATTGGAAAGCATGAATTTAGAAGTGTAGGATCTAAAACTAGACAGGAAGTACATATATTCTTGCCTGCTCATAAGCTGTTGGATCAAACTTAGTATGAATCGTCTTTAAAGTTAAGTTCACTCAAACTGTATTCATTACAGTGTGCCCCTATAACCACCCATACATATAATGCTGAGTGAGTTCTTCACTTGTCTAACAAAGTTCATATCCTTCTCAAACTTTTTGACAGGTAAAGAGGCCTCAAGCTAAGGTCTACTTTGAGAAAGAAATAGGAGAAATGTACGCACTACTTTCGAAAGCTGACCCAACGAGCAAATTGTGATGAAATTTGGTCTGTGAAAGAAGTTTAAGGTAACAGTCCATTGGTAAATAACTCGAGGCCAACATCCTGTCGTTTGTCAAGGGATAACGAGGGAAGATTTGCTTGTAATCTCCCTGATTCTGCTAGTATTAGTATTTGTGTTAACCTAGCAGGATTATTAATTAATTTATTTATTATTTTGGGGATCATTTTTGCTCTAAAAATAGAAAAAAAGAAATGTCTATATATTTAGTATATTAGCAGGTTTTTGGAAGGTGGCTTACTGTGCCTGCTATTTGTAATTTTATATTACTCCGTAGCTTGGTATATGATGCACACTTGCTGTAATACGAATATACGATGCATGTTGTAAAATTCTGTTAAAATAAACTGTACATGGTTATACATATTGAATATTACAGTACTTCCCGTCTTACGTTATAATTAAAATTAAAGCCCATGTGTTGCACGGATCTTACTTGATTTCCATGTAAAGGTATTTTGTTCTAAAATCTAATCACCTGTTTTTGTTAATGTTTTTATATTCTGTCTTCTATACTATATTTACTTTTTGATTTAAACAACACTAAGATCAGAGGTTGCAAGACAAAATTAATTGGGAAAAAATAGGTTTTTTTTTTTTTTTTTTTTTTTTTTTTTTTGGGGGGGGGGGGTGGTGGTGGGGGGGGGGAAATAGGAAAAAAAGTGCTTCCAAAAAGCATTAGTAGTAATGTTTTGAGATTATTTGTTTTAAGAAATACTTTGTAATTTCGAAATGTTTTGAGATCATTTTTTTTTAAGAAACAGAGTATATGATTTAGGTTAAACTTTAACCACGTATGCTGCATAATCAACATGTGAATGTAATTATGAGGAGCTGGTGAGAATACTAACAATAGAAAAAGTGAAAAAACAATTAAATTTACAATGATACAAGGCAAAACTGTTTAACTCGTGTTTTTTTTTTTTGGGGCAAATATTTGTTGTAATTTTCCCACCAAAATTATGCGCATGCTTTACAATCACAAAGTCTCACGGCTTTTGTCATATTGTTTTTAGAAACCTAATTCCAAACTTGCCAAAAAAAATTTTAATGAGTCAAATTGAAATGATTTCGGATTATTTTGGTTAAATTCAAGGCAGATTCAGGTTTCTCTCGATTATTTTGGGTTGAGTTAGGGAAGCAGCCCTGCAGATTTAAGGTTGAAATTGGAATCTGGTTACACAATTACACCAAATATTTTCATTAGAAATGGAAACAATAATTGAAATGGATGTCAGCAAGTGAAATAAAACATGAATCTTAACAAATAAATGGTGCAGAATTCTGTACAAGCACAGTATATATAATTGTCAACCAAAGTGCACAGCATATTGCACCCAGCATTATGAACAGACGAGTACATTTTTGTAAAAGCCGTGAGGCAAAGTAAAACAAGAAGCAGATCAGCTTCACTGTTTGACAAGAGGCCGTGTGTTTTCCCAAAGCCATTGACGTTCTAAACCATCCAGCAATGGTGACACCTGCAGTAGCAAAGACGATACAGCTCAATTAGTCAATTAGAATGACAAAGCTGGAGAAGTTTTCCCCCAAGGTTACATGCTTGGTTCTGCAAGCAACAGTTTCATTTCCATTAAAAGCATCGTTCAATAAGCATTAGTAGCATTACCTTTTGCCAAACTTGGTCATGATAATCATTAAGCCAATCAACTTCAACAGCAGATAGTAAGGATAAATCGATCAATTTGCTCTGCATAATGCCATCACTAAACATTAGCTTCACATTATATTATGCTAGGAATATTCAGAATTTTTTTTATGCATTTGCCTTCCATATATGGATTTCTTAGTTGATCTAGTTTCTTGGTAGTTTGAATTGGTCTAATAATGGGAAGAGGATCAACATCCAATAGACCAAGGTACTCCCAAAAGCAAGAAGTCAAAAAAACAGGTGAAAAGAATTCTACAAATAAAAAGTGCACAAGGATTTTAATACTTCTCTCTTGCTTCTTTATTTCCCAATTCTTTGTACTTTTACTTCTTTAGAGACCATAGATGCAGCTCGAGAAGATTGAGATCGCTTAATGAAGTCCACTTTATTATAGAAAAGAGACAATTGACAACAAGATAAAATGTGTCATGAACCAACAAGATAAAATCTCGATTAGGAGCTTCATTAAGAATTATCAAAGTAATAAGAGAGTTCAGAAGAGTCTTTGATTAAGATAAAGCCAAAAGTTTTCTTACAAGTTACAACGGTAACTTAAGGCTAACACTCTCCAAATAGTGACTTGAGGTCACAACTGTCCTACGAATTAACTCAAAAAATGCCTGCCTACCCCTTTCTCATCTCTCCCTCTATTTTTGTACACATGGTTTCAATCCCTAGGATGATTCTAGACCAAGCTTTTGTCTCATGTGCACACGTGGCAGCTCTCTCTATTTTCTTTATTATTAATAACTTTGATGACTATTAACAGAATAATACTAGTGCAGTAGTACCCATAATCCCCTCCTTAGGTCTGTTCATTATAAAATGCCAGTATGCCTTCTACTTAAAATTTTTCATTAACCACCCACTTGACAATAACAATCCAAAAATGCTGAATACTGTCTGCAAATCAGTACTAGTATAGCTAAGAATCTCTGTTCTTGTAACAATAACAGGGGAAAATGAGAGATCTCTACAAAACCAAATCGATTTGACTGGTATTCCTCTAACTAGGGCCTATTTGGCAAAAGTAGATGTTAGCTCTTGTACCTGCTTTCAGATATCGGTTATATAGGAAATTAGATATCAAGACTGATTGTTGTAAAAGTTTGAGAAAAAAAATAGGACTATACTCTACCTAGTACCTACAACAACTAACTCTTTGCCACAAACTACTTTCTATTTAACTTTCCCAAAACAGTAGTTCAACCACTAAATTCTAACTTAAATCACCATAAAGAACACTATAATACACCTTTAGTTGGTCTAAACTCCTAAAACTATTTCACAAAATGTTACCAATCTGGAGAATAGCAGTACTATAGCCATTCAGCAGCCTGAATTAACCAATGGCAAAATTCTAGTTTTGGGACATTAGGTGATATGAAGATGTTGGCATCGGTGAATTAATACATGTTAACAATACTCATAATAAAAGAGCTCAAGATAGCAACACCTGGATAGGAACAAAAGTAAGCTTTTCAAATCCCAGATACGCAAGACCTCCAAAGCGGTTTGGTGTATCCATTTCTTTCACGAAAAGGAGGTTCTGCATGACAAAACAAAGGATATCATTAGAGGCATTTTATGTCTGTTACATAGTACAAGTAACTTCAGAAGAGATTCTCATCAAACACCTCCTCTATTTTTATTTAGTTCCAATGAAGTACAATGGAACACAAGCCAAGGAGAGGGAGCTAGGAGGACAATTAAGAAATAAGCATACAGAAAGAATGTAAACAATGTTTATACTAACATTAGAGAGAGCAATGCCAAGACAAGCCAGAGACGGGGGCAAAAGAATCAATAAGGCATAAAATGCAACTTTAACAAAGATAGAACAGGACCTCAATGCGTATACCAAATGCATGATCTTCATAATACCCAGGTTCATTGCTAACAATCATGCCTTTCTGCAAGGGTGTCAGGTTTCCAAATCGAAAACTAATACTTTGAGGGCCTTCATGAACATTTAATGCAGCTCCTACACCATGGCCAGTCCCTGAACATAAAGGGTCCTATTCTTTTAGCATTATAATAAATTGTCACCACAAGGATAGGAAAAAAAATACTTGCTTACAATCAGGAAAGACAACCAGAGAAATAGAAGGTATATGTTATTGGAAGTACCATGGCGGTAATCAAGTCCAATTTTCCAAAGAGAAGAGCGCGCAAAAGAATCCAAAACAAAGCCAGGTGTATTTTCGGGGAATACCGCCTGATCAAGAGTTATATGACCCTGCAATGAAATTTAACGACTAAACTCTTCAGTGATTGCAGATTTTTAAAGTTTTAATCACCCATTAACAAAAGTTATAAAACATTGTATTTCATTAAATTGAAATTGGAGCATAAACAAGCTGAATCAAATGAAAATTTTTCTTAGGGAGCATTTTTTTTTTTAAATGGTATAATTAAGTTCCTAATTTGTAGCCTCCAAGGCTCAAAGGAGAACAAGTAGAAAGCAATGACAACAAAACCACCTTCAGTATGAACATATCATGTTATTATTCACATTGGCTTCCTCCTTGGATGCTAGGTGTTTTTTGCCTTTATTGGAAAATTAAGAAATACTCCGTATAAGAGATTATGTTAGTTAGAAACCTAGAGTTGTAACAATATGAAGAGAAAAAAATGTATATTATGTTGTTTATACAATTGTTTAACACTCGAGTGTTTTCTCCAAAAAAAACAATACTAAAAAAATGAGAGCATCTATAATACAGACTAAAATAAAATCCCTTAAAATAAACTGATTTTTAAATATGCTTATGAGGCTCTTATTTAACTCCACTTTTCTTTCAGTTGCACTGGTTTATTCCCTTTTTTCAGTTGTGGTAATGGAATGGGCCCCAAATGGAAAAGTTAGTTAACTTTAAATTATAGAAATTATTGCTGTCAACTTATTATACAAGATTACTAGTACTCCCTCCGTTTTTAAATACTTGCTCCACTTTCCTTTTCCAGCCGTTTTTAAATACTTGCTCCATTTCCTTTTTTTAGAAAGCTTTTACAATATTTAATTCATTTCTCACACTTAGTGGACCCAACATAATATTCTCTCTCATCCTATTTTTCCACTACTTTTGCATTTTACAATTTTTTATTTTCTCAACTACCCCACTACCTCCATATTTTATTACTTTCTCCAATTTCTCCTAAAACTCCGCGCATGGAGAAATGGAGCAAGTATTTAAAAACGGAGGGAGTAGTATATAATGCTTCCATTCCAAAAATCTGGTGACCTTTACAATCAGGCAAGAGCAAAAGAGTTTCATATGTCACACTGCTTTAGTCAAGAGCCTGCATTTATCTTATCGTAAATGAATATTTAATAAATATATCCATTTTATTTATTTTTTTGGTGCGAGGAGCCTAGGCAATGGCCGGAAAATAAGCATAACAAATAGCTAGAGCAAGTACACATGTGTTAATTTCTCATAAAAGATGAATGGATTTGGAAGTCGTAATTAGCACCTGTAAAACACGAGTGAAACACTCTATTTCTCGAGAAGTAGGTTCACCAAAATGAACAGTCCTTGTTATGTCTGTTGTACCATCAATATATTGTGCTCCACTGTCAAGCAAGAAGAGTTTTTCAGGATCCACAATGCTGCAACTATCTGGTTCTGGTTTGTAATGAATTATTGCACCATTCGGACCAGAACCTGAAAGCCATTTTCCATGCATTTGGTAAGTGGAAAGAGCATTTTCATTAGCAGGATAGTTGAAAGAAAATGAGATTGAGAAATAATGCTTGTTCCTACACATCTTTATTAAAACTTCCAAGAAACATAGAGTGAAGTACGCTAGATGAAATTTTCAGGGAGCCAAAGTATCAGAATTCAAGAGAATGTTGTATTTTACAAAAACAAACTTCCTTATTACCAAGTGGATGCATCAAATGGTAGAAATGGATAAGGTAACATGTCAACACCAGCAATTAAACAGATTGTACTAATATTAATTTCAAAATCTTATCCAAATGGTAACCAGCGTAACCTAGCAGCCTACATACATACAAAATACAAAGATTCACAAAACAGCTTTTTTTTTTCTTTTTTTCTTTGGGTTAAAGGTGGGGGAGAGAGGAGCCTGAGTCCACAATCCAAATAAAGGGAGCATAAAAAATACAATTGCTCCAAAAAAGTAAAGAAGTACAATCTAGAATACAAAACATAAAGAGAAAGAAGCTTGGGCAACCCTTACATGAAGCACTTCATAAATATCATTTCCAGTAAATCAACAAAAAAAAACCAGTGATACATATACACAGGAAGCTGCAAAATCATGTTTCTGAACCATGTTTGAAAGTTGGTCAAATAACCTTCTTGTCACTAGAAGTGAATTATTTAAAGCCAGTAGGACGAAATTATTTAAGCCAGAAGGACGAAATCCTACAAGGTCATTCAAGCTTCTGCTTGACTGCTTTGCCATATTGTCTGGTATGTTAGGGTGATCATAGACACAAAAATATTCTTAGAAGAATTATCACTTTTACATCAATCTCAATTGAATTACTAGCTTGAGCCACTGTGTAACTTTAGATTGGGTATGTTATGATAACAGTACTGTGTCTACTACCACTCCTTTTTTCTGTGTTTCCACAAATTAATTTATTTCTCACCTAAAAAAACATAAATCAAAATGCCTAACATATAGCAGCAAAATTCACAAGAATTAAAAATAAATCACTCGTGTGTTTTGAGGTTCTTCGCTATGACTTAATATAAAAAAAATACTCAACAGAGTTGGTTAAAAGATATTTAAAAGGATGTAATTCAATAGTCAAAAGAACAATAGAATAGTACCACTTATAGTATCAAAACTTGTATCCACAAAACCATCTTGCTTGGAACGAAACTCAAGAAGTTTGTCTGACACTTCCACCTCTGTCAATGTCAGACCCTTGCTAATTTCAGCTTCCAGCCAGGACCAGAATTGTACTACAGCAGCTGCATCCCTACAAAAGAAAAAAAATATGATTGATGTTAAACAGAAGGAATTTCACTCAATTAGTCATTTGTGCTCTCAGTGCATTATAAACTTTTGCAAAAAAGAAATATAAGTGGGAAAAAAAAAATGCCAAAATGGATATGGAACATCATCTCTAACGGTGCATGTAAGCAAGAACCTGGATATTTACCTGCACGCACTTGAGAGTTGAGCGCGAAGAGCCTAAGAAACATTCTTTAAGCTCTCCCTCTTCACCCCTCTTATAGAAATGGCAGGATAAGAACAGACCAGAGTATGAAAATGATTGTGCACACAACTACACATTTCCATGTACATGTGACATTGTGATGTGTATGCATTTGTATTCAAGCAACAAGGAGCACTGAAAGTCTGAAAAGTGACTATACCTTAAATGAGAATTGCGCATCCCTTCTATTTCAGCATGGTTTTTCAGTGCTTTTGCAAGGGAAATTGGGGAGCTCCTATACACAGCAGTTGCTCCATTAGAACCACCATTAGAGCTACCATATGACCTAGACTTATATTCCTTTTTGTTATTGGAAGCTGACTTAAAGGTGTTGGCAATAGCAGCATTTACAGTTGCTGTGTCGATCAGAAGATGAGCCCCTTCTAGTGCCAAACTGTAGAAGAAGAAACGAAACTCAAGACACCAATATAAAAATCCAGGTATTCAAAATCCAACAAAGATGTTATAACACAAATGTTTTCAAGGATGTCTAGCAAATGCTTGTAGATTTAAAATCTATGTAAAAATCCCAATTGGTTCGTATCAATAGCTACCATATCAGAAAAGGAAAATCAGAATCCAGCACACAATTAAGTTGACTATATAGGTCAAAAACTTGGAAGCAAGTAAACTAGTTCATAAGAATTATTAAGTAATACCCCCAAGATTAAAATTAGAAGTATGTATCCCGTAAAAAAAAAAAAAAAAAAGTTAGAAGTATGTAGAAAGTCTGATCTTTGCGAAAAATAAGTAGAAAAATCTACAGCCCAAAAGAAACATGTGTATGCCTAGAACTAGAACTGCACCTATCTCCATTCTCCACAAATACAAACACAACAAGATGGAATACATAATATCTCGTGACAGAAGCTTCTTGACGACTCATTTATTTTAAAAGGAGGATATCTTCAAAGAAAACATGCATATATGTTGATATTTTCTGGTCTAACGTATATGCAAACTTACTTCTCAACTGCATTCAAGATTGAATCATAAGGTCTCAACTCTACACCAGCATTCTGCAAGTAACCCATCACCTCTGATGTGATTTTACTATCGTCAATAAATAACTTGGATTGATCAGTCTCCACAACCAAATATGCATACATAACAGGAGAATGAGGAATATCACTTCCTCTCTGCAAAACAAAAAAATACATATATTAAGCATCAAAGGTGCTACTTCTTCTTGGGTTTATTTTTTTTATTTTTTAGTTGCAACATTTTGAAATTCATGGCTGTTTATAAAGTAAAAAGAGTTGATTTTTTTTTTTTTTCAAAAAAAAAAAAAAGAGTTGATATTTTAGAAATATATATTGAGACAAAGCTAACAAGATCCATTTTTCCCCCCTCAAAAAAAAAAAAAAAAAAAAAAAAAAAAAACAAGATCCCATTTTTTTTCCCTTTAATTAGTCAAAGTAGAACGTGTGAATAGTGCACAAGTCAGATCTTTGCAAGTTGATGAATTGGAGGAAATTATATCTTTATGTAGCTAGGCTCCTACCCAGCCCTGTATAAAGAATTACCACATTTTTTTATTTCCCAAAATATAGCAACTAGAGTAGGGTTGAGAACCTTACCAAATTAAGCAACCAAGCAATTTCGTCAAGCTTGGTAATCACCATAGCAGAACAACCATCATTTGCAAGCTGGGATCTCAACCAAGATAGCTTTGAAGAAACATCTACTCCAGCATACTTTAATTCATGCAATCTCACAGGTTTTCTTGGAGGTTGTGGCCTTGAATCCTTCCAAATTTCATCTACAAGATTGGCCTTGGACAGAAGAACTAATTCATGGTTCTTTTTAGATATATCATCTCTGAGTTCTTCAGCAGCATCAAACGAGAAGAGGAACTGTTCCCTTCACATAACCAAGATGTAGTGTCATGAAAGACCAGTCTAATCAATATAATTCTTAACTATGATTTACAAATGGGAAGAGAAGTAAACAAAAAAGGGAAAAGAGCACTTGCTAACCAAAGGATTTCAAAAACTCCAAAACCATAAGATTTTGTATGAAAAAATGTCATATAACAATGAAACAAACAGTGCATGCAACCATAATATATGATAAATAAAAAGGAAAGAGTTCCTCAACACAGAAAAAGTCAGATACTGAACCAATCAAATCATTGGCTTACAGGATCAATGCCAACTCTGGAGCCAGGTGTAAGCACGTCATTAAGCCACTCAGACATAGTGGGGACACCCATATTACCAGCACGCATGAGTATCCAATCAGAGCTCAGTTGCTTTTCAGCCTGATCATGACACAAAATGAAACAAATGAGGGTTGGAATTGTGATATAAGACCAACTGACAATTCATTTGCACAGCTCGCAAGTAAACTGACACAAGGTATCACCAAGAATCGCTGGTTACAAAGAATTGTAATAATAAAGAATGATAAAAAAATTTAATGTCTTGTGTACAAATAGAGGTAGCAGCTAGATCACATTGGTGCACCACCATCTAGATTTCTGAATTATTGGAAATCATGAGATTAGCACAGACTATGTTTTGTCTTCCCCCATCTCCCCCCAAAAAAATCCCTTCTCCCATTTTATCCCCTGAGGTCCCTAACCAGTAACCATAGCTTGTTTATCAAAACGGTTACATAAAAAAGTGGCACGGCAGAAATTGAGCAGTGTGGATTTTAGAGATAGTTGAGGACACGGATGCAGGGTAATGATTGCTTAGTAGTTAGTTGCTTACCCAGCCTTTTTAGCAGCAAATTAAGATTGATACACACATGTTGATCATAATGGCAATAGAAGAATCAATATTTTAAAAGGGAGGGGAGGGGGATTCCTGGAATTATCATGAAAAACATGTAAACATTAAATTCTCCTACCTGCAAAAAGTACCGTCCATCTGTCCACAAAGCCGCTTTATCCTTTGTGACAACAGCAGTGCCAGCACTCCCAGTAAAGCCAGAAATATAGGCCCTCCGCATATAACACTCAGCAATAAATTCACTCTGCAAGCCAAAATCCAAGAATGTGACAATATAATACAAGCTTACTACTGTTCACACCAATGGCAGCATTAGTCCAGCTTTGCCCAAAACAGACATGCAATTCTATATAGATTGGTGTTGTTAAGGCACTGCTACCCAAGTGTCTAGAGAGGCCTAGGCAGTGATGGTAGAGGCAATTTTTTATGAGGCACAGTTAAGCATAGTAGGTGCATTAATACCAAGTCCGCAGTCTATTTACACAAGGAACTATAATTTTATTTAAGTGCAAACTTCACTGCAAGCCTTACACATGTGCTTCACCCATAATGCCTCAGAGCATCATGAGCCTTTTCAAACACTGATATTATGATATAGTTGCTAATGAGAAACTTGACTGGCAGCCGAAAATCTTCTTATCCTCTTTAATCAATCAAACGGTGAAAAGCAGAGTATAATAAGGGATTCAACATTTAGTAGGAAATCAATCAGTATAAAGAAAAGTCACAAGAATAATTAAGTAGCTTATTTGTTTTACATGGTTTAGGACTTTACTACTTTAGGTTTGGCCCTTCAATTCATATAACTTGGCAATTATTTTTTTTAAAGCTGAACTAATGATAAATTTAATTCGGGCAAAGGAAAATAACTTCAAACATGATAAGAATAAGCCCTTTTACTTTTAACACTAGACTTAGAGAATTGTACATCAAAGAAAATGGGAGTTCTTGGAAAGAAAAAAAAATAGAAACTACAATCATTTGGTTATAATTTATCCTAAAATATGCAACATATGACTATTTTGGCAGTCTAAATATCTATCATGATAACTACTTTGAAATCATAAACATGGGATGCCATGGGATGATTTTGAACACCTTCTTTTAGAAGTTACCTCGCTCTCTGAGTCACTATACCAACCGCTTCATCATTTCTTTCTCTTTCCTTCCCTCAATCTTTACCCAAAATCTATCATTTCTAATTAGATTCAACATGAAACAAAATCTATAGCACCTCAACACATAACTAATAACAAACCAATTGAATTTTATTTACATCGTTTACATCACCAATTGAAAGAGATTGTGTTCTAAATATCCACATGACCAACTAACTAAGAAACACAAATGATTTGGTGTAATGCCAACATGAAAGTTAATACTCATACTATCTACTTCATCATCATATTCCATTGAACCATTTAGTTTCAACATATCAACAACAAACCGTGGAAAACGATTTCTAGTACAACAACCATTACAAATTGATTGAAACCTCAAATAAATTCTAATTGAATTGCATCAATACAATCACTACCTTAATGTAATTTACATGCTTAATATCCCAAAATCTTACACTATAGCATCAAAATTGAATACCCAAAAGTAGAAAATACTCCAAACAACAATCAAATTCAAGAAAAACCTCAAAAATTGAGATGAAGAAATCGAGAAACCTGGTGAGCATCCTGAGAAGGGATGATATAAGCATCAATACCGACGCCAGGCTTAGAGAAAAGCTCGCGCAATGCTCGGAGCTTTTCGTCGTGATTAGCACGCGCTTGCCGGAGTTTCCGGAGCTCCGACGAGGGTTTTGCGGAGAAAGTACTGCAGCATTTGATGACGGAAATGGCGGAGCGATTTGGGGAAATTGAAGGAGGGGATTTGAATTTGGGGAAGATTGAGGGAGATGAGAGAGAGAGAAAGCGGAAGTAGTTAGGGCGAAAGTGAGAGGGGTTGAAGGCGAGCTTTGCTGAGGAGAGAGATAGAGCTTCCATGGTTATGGAGTGAGGAAGGTGGAAGAGGAGAGAGATGATTGGGTTGGAAGATACTGAAGGCAATGTTTGGAGTGTATCACTCGATTGAGCAATGAGATTATGTTGTGTTGAACGCTAACCCGACCCGCTTAATGAACGCGTTATGTCGTATTGACTCGTTTAATTAATTTTTATCAAAAATTGTTGACACTATATTTTTTATTTTTTTCGTGAGTCTAATTCGTATGGTGTTGCAAAGAAAAATGTTGGCGTCATTTAGAGTATTTATCAATAAATTTCATAAATAATAGATTCTTTTTCTTAACCGAGTTGATTTGTGTTGGAATTCTCAACACCAACCCGACATGTTTAATTACACGTGTCAGGTTGACCCGTTTAATTAAACATGTCGTGAACTCTTTGGACACTAACCTGGGTTTCTCGTGTTTGATTCGTAACGTGTTAACTTTTGCCAGCTCTAAACTGAACCTAGCTAATTCTCAAAGAAATAAATGAGGTGGGTTAAGTTTAACATGGATGGTGCCTCGAAAAAAAACCCAAGTCGAGGAATAGTGGTCATATGAAGCTTTTGGTATCTATTGATTCGGAAGTTGTCGTTAAAATGTTAGTGGAGAATGTTATTTTAATTCCCCTTATATTCACGTTTTGTGCAAGTGTAAGGCTATCATTAAGCATCAAGGTTAGGAGGTGAGGATTCATTATTGCTACATGGAAGCTAATCAGGTGGCAAATTGGTTAGCTAACTTTGGAGTCAACTCAACTCAAAAGATTACCACGCGCTTGTCGGAGTTTCTTGGTCTTGAGGGATCTTCAAGTCGTTTTATTGGAAGACCTTAGTGGCGTTGCTCATGTTAGGTTTATTCCTAGGAATAAGGCTTAGTTTTGTTGGGGTTTTTGCTTTTGTTTTATATTTTTTTGGTTTTGCTTTGTGTTTTTTCTTTCTTTTTGGGGCTTGCCCTTCTCTTTCAATTAACAAAAAAAAAAAAAAAAATACAAGTCTCTTAAGCATAATAGTCTATTCAAGAAAAAGGGAAAATGAAAGCAGATGAACTAGACAACTAATTCACAAACATAATCCATTAAATGGTGGCTAAATCAAAATTTTATTTTTATTTGTAGTAAAATAAAATTATATATTAGATCCTGTAAGAAATGAAAAGCAAAATATATCCCTTTTGTGTTGTAAAGGTCTCAACTTTTTTTTAAAGCGCGGTAAAGGTCTTACTTTATGGTATTATTAAAGGTTAAATGGGTTACAATGGTATTTGTTAATCATGGTTACCCTAATCCTTCACTACATTAATTAACCTACACTAATCTTGACCAATTATATCATCACTCCAATGGTCCAAGCACATAGCCAACTCTTGTCCAACCCACCACCAACGACCATCTAGCCAATCACCAACACCCACCCATCGACAATCACCTACTAGTCTACCACCCACCACAAATTTCAATACTTTTTTCGTTTGGTTCAATATTAGTAAAGGAAAAGAAGAGAAAGGATGGGAAAGGAAAAAAAGGGAAAGGAAGGTGATTTTATTTTTCAATATTTGGTAGATGAATAAAAAATGAAGGAAAGAGAAAGGAAATTACTTTTATTTTTCTCATTCCAGTCAAATTCCTCCCACTTCCCTTCATTTTCCTTAAATTTTTATGTCATTTATTCAACCAGATATGGAAATTTGATTAGAACAATTTCCCTTCTTTTCTTTTCTATCCAAATTCTTTCAATAAAAAAGGGAGAGGTATGTTAAAATAATTTTTGACGTGCTTAAATCAATTTCCTGATTACTCATTAAAAAAAAAGTTGCTTGAAAAATCTGATACTTTTTCCTAAAAAAATTCAGAAAGTGTTTTTATTCGTTTGTTCCCTATATGCTATGTCACCCGTTACCTCGGATGCATTTGAATCTAGATATTCCCGAAAATAGAATTCAAACACTCACTTCAATTCATTCTTCCTCTCACTAAGCTCAACCCTGTAAAGTACTCAACAATGGCGATCATCACTGAACACGAAGACAACCAGAATAACCAACCATCTTCTCCTTCCAAATCCAAACCCAAACCCAAACCCAAACCCAAATCCAAATCCAAACCCAAATCAAAACCCAATCCCCAACCCAAACCCAGAACCCAAACCCAAAACCCCTTCATCTTCTGGTTCTACTTCACTGTAACAATCTCTCTTATCACTTTCATCTTCGTTTCTCTCTCCTCTTTCTCCTCCCCTGATCCCAAAACCTGGTTTTTGAAATTACCCACAATTCTCAGAGATCATTATTCTAAAGGGAGAACAATCAAGGTTCAGATTAACCCTAATGAACCCCCAATTGAGGTATTTTCTTACTCCCAAGGTTCTAGAACTTCTGAAAATGTGTTGATTGTTCATGGGTTAGGTTGTAGTTCTTTTACATTTAAAAGGGTAGTTGATGATTTAGGTTCTAATGGGTTTTTTGGGGTGGCAATCGATTTACCGGGTTCCGGGTTTTCGGATAAGACGGTGGAAAGAGAGATTGAGGTTGTTCGTGAAGCTGGGGTTTTAGAGAAGTTTTCAGAGATGTATGAGGAGATTAAGGAAAAGGGAATTTTTTGGGGTTTTGATAATTTGATTGAACATGGGCATCTTCCTTATCAAGAGGTTAAAATTCGGGTTTCGAAACAGAAGATTGTTGAGCCATTGGAATTGGGATCACAAGAATTGGGTAGGGTTTTGGGACAAGTTATTGATTCAATGGGATTAGCCCCTTTGCATTTGGTTTTACATGATTCAGCTTTGGTAATGGGAGCAAATTGGGTTGCTGAAAATGCAGGGTTATTGAGGAGTCTTACACTTATTGATACTATGCCTAGGGGAACAGCATTGCCCTTGTGGGCATTGCAAGTGCCCTTGATTCGGGATGTGGTTTTGAGGGTTGATTCTGTGTTTGGAAGATTGATGGGTTCGTGTTGTTCGAAATCGTTTCAGGGTTCGAGTTTGGAGGCTCATAGGGTTCTTTTGAAGGGTAGAGATGGGAGGGAGACGGTTGTGGGAGTGGGGAGGAATTTGAATCAGAGTTTTGATCTGGCTCAATGGGCTAGTATGGATGGTATTAAGGGTTTGCCTATGCAAGTGCTTTGGTCTGGTAGTTGGTCTGAAGAGTGGAATGACGAAGGTAAACGTGTCGCTGAGATTGTATCTCAAGCAAAGTTCATCAAGCATTCTGGTGGGAGGTGGCCTCAGGTAGGATCTCAGGATTCCTGTATGAATTGTTTTAATTTTGCTTGAATTTTTGCTGAAATGTTTAGTGAACCATTTGATTGTTAGAACTGAGATATGCAACATTAGATGAGCTGAAAATGCTTTTAAGGGAATAACACATTTTATTCAGTCATAAACATTCTTAGTTTTTGAACTCAAAATCATGATATCACTGGAAAGACTGTCAAGTAGCTCTTAATTTCATCTCACCTCACATTTGGATCAAGTTGAGAAGATTTTACAGTGACATGGAATTCTTTGTATAATTGAATTTTAGTCACACCTCATTCACATTCTCTCAACTCTAAATTGGGACATACAGTTCCTATTTGACTTCTCCAAGAAAGTAAGTGCAGTGGAATGCAATATCATAATGTATTACTGTGTGAGAAGTAAGTGTAGATTGTCCAGTCAAGGTGTCAACTTTTAACGTTAGGAGTTCGATTATGGACTAAACTAAAAAGATATTTAATTGCTTTCTCTGAAGTCTGCACCTTGCCCTTTATGAGATGTTGCCAAAGCAGTTTTCATTGATATTGATGACTATGCTGTTCAAGTTCTTCATTTTGCATCAAACTAGCCTTGTCCAGCACGAGTCATGGGATAGCATATGGAGACTGCAGCTTAGGTCCTTAACATTTAAATTTTATCTACTCTTTGGACCTATGTAGCATGGAAACAAAAACAAGAAACAAATAGGGGAAACATGAAAAAATAAAAAAAAAAAGAAACATGGCAATGTCAAGATTGAAACATTAAGACAAAGATATTTGCTAGAAACACAAAGTTATCCCTTTTTTTTTTTTTCTTTTTTTTTTCTTTTTTTTTATATGATAGGAAAATAAATAAATAAAAAGAAAGTAAAAGTATTTTGTTGGGGCTTATATTAGGATTTTAGTTTAATGAATATGTCATCTTGGGCCCTTGGGGCATTAAGTATCTTTAAGGATGCTACTAGGTAGTCATTTGAGTTACTAAAGCTTCCAAATTTCTGAAACAGAAACAGGAAATGTGGCCTTCATGAGAGTTTTTGTGCTTCATAACCTTTGGGTATTTTGCTGTTTATGTGGAATAGCAGTGAACACCCTCATCAATGTCTAAGTAGAGTCGATGTCATTGTAATTTGTTCTTGTTGCTGTCTAAGTGCCCAATTTCTCCTCACTAAAACTGTTTTCAGTTGTTATGGTTGGGTAGGCTTTCTGTTTTTATTTTTACCAAAAAATGTTGCTTGTCTTCTATCTTGGGCATGTTTTGTTTGAGGCTACAGTTTTTAACTCTCGCATGTCTTTTTGCTTCAATTATGAACTCTTATCTTTATTTGTAATAAATAGTATTGTCAAATTAGAAATTTAGATGATATAATTTTGTATTACAATCGATTCTAGACCCTTTCCATGAATATTTGTTTCAAATGATTTGCCTCATAAATGATGACAAATCTAACATTTACTTCAAGGATCATGTACAAATTAATCCATGAATTATCATAAGCTGGCAATCTCCACTGTCCAGAATTCCAGCCTAAAGCAATATATCCTGGAAATATATTAACATAAAAGTTGTTGCTGTATGAGATTCTGTTGCTCTTGATGATCTTGGTTTTCTCTTTCATACCTTTGACCTAAGGGGTACTGTCATATTTTTTACATGAGACTGTTTCGCAAAACTTTAATGTGAGGTAAAAAAAAAAATCTATCTGCGGAAATTGTAGCACTCCACTCATCCCTAGAAGTTACCAGGTCGCTGATAGTATATTGTTTGCTGATAGCAGTTGGTATTGTGCAGCAATAGACTGTTGTAAATTGTAGACAGTTCTCAGGGTTGTTTTTGGCCTTCTGATTATTTCTATTTTCAGGGATTCTCTTTAGACCCTATTGGTTAATTATGATCACATTCTTGTGATTGGGTCCCGTTCTTTTAAACATTATTTTGGACTTGGGGAGGGTCAAGGGAGGCTTTTTTTTTTTTTTTTTTTTAAATTTTTTTTTTTAAAAAAAAGGGGGGGGGGTGTTGTGTTGCGAATCAGACCACCGCGTGCTCATAACCTGATTAGAATTTGAGCTATTTAACTTATCTCCCTGTCTTTTATATTTTAAAACCTTTTGCTTTGTCAAATGCAAATTTTATGTGCTCTGATGACTATTAAAGTGTTCAATACATGTTCTTGACAGTCTTTGAGTGGGTTTGACAAATTGACTCCACTTATGCATAAGATTAAATAAGTGCATTAGAAATTTTCTGTGAAAATCTGATGATGTACAAGAATTATGATGTAATTTATAATTCTTACTCAATAGAGAACCTACATGGAGTGAGAGAGCCAAAATAAAGCCATACCAATATACCATACATTGTTTTGAAAAAGGCCCATATGGGTTAATTGACCAACGGCCGCCTCATGGCATAGCCTTTGCACCATGCCTTAATTTTTTATCTGGGACAAAAGGTAATGCTGCCGTGTCATGATTCCACCATGTCATGATCCTGTGCTGCTGGCTGCCCCAGGACAGCACATTTGTAGCACGGTCTTGTGCCACCTTTAGTTTTGCATTGCTGGTCTTTCTACTGTAGTTCTATAGAAAGCTTAGTCAGTTATTATCTTTATTTAATGTAGTGTCTATTGTAATTATTGCAGGATGACACTTCAAGTGAGGTAGCTGAAAACATCATTAGTTTAATATCTTCTCTACCAAAGACCGAAAGAAAAGTTGATGATGAACCTTTGCCAGAGCATATTCAAAAGATGCTTGATGAAGCAAAAAGTGGAGGCAGTAATGACCAGCGTCATGGTCATGGTAGCCATAGCCACCATGATGGGCATACTCATGGTCATGGCCATCATGCAGATTACATGGATTCCTACGGTCTTGGTCAAGGTCATGGATGGGGAATGTGATCTTCGGCTAATCCTTAATTTCTGGTAAAAATATGATACTGGCCATGATATAGTTGTCGAAACCAACATAAACCTCAAATATTTGCGAATATGAAAGTGTCTTGGATATGGCCCGAGTTAACTAATTGCCAAATTTGAGATCATACATAGCAGAGCATTGACATGCTAGATAGTGGGTTTCTTTTTTCTAGCTCATATCAGCGTACTTTGATTTTTTTTTTTTTTTTTTCCATCTTGTTTTCTTCTGTTTCATATTTGAATTTGTGCTTGTGATTTTAGTAGTTTACCGGGCTTCAATTTTGTTGATCTACTCGGTTTTCCAGGTTGTTGGGTATATTAGATTTCCCCTGCTCCTGATTGATGTAAGGGATGGTAGGATGTGGTATTTTCAGGTTGTCGAACAGTTTGTTGTATAATGAGCTTGTATCTTCATATGTAGTGAATGAAATTAGTGTTTTTCGGTTTTGTTTTTCTGCTTTGGTATGCTTCCAAATATTCAATGACTTTGATCACATCTTATTTGTCAGCTACACTTGCTGAAACTACTTCCATAATAAACAGGAAAACATATCATATAAAAGTGCTACAATGTGATCCAGAAAACCATTTGAAGAAGCTTTGATTCCTCATTTCTATCATTAGCCATCAGTAACTTAAGGCTCTAGAAGCCATTCTTTAATCCTTATCACAAGTTCACAACATTGTACTTGTATGGATTTTATGTCAATAATGTAAGTCCTCTCTAAACATTTCGATTAAAAAAGAACTGAAGAAGCTTGATTACCATCCCTTAAAATTTTCCCTACTTAAAATGAGTCCCCCACCAACCACACCGAATTTGCTCGATTATAAGAGAATGTGTGACTATATTTGTTTATTAATCTATTTTAAAAGTAAATCTTTCCCTTACAGTTACACTTGTTATTACCTTGTGAAATATTTTTCCGTCTTTTTTCGCTTCTCTCTTTTCTTTTTTATATTATATGTACTCGTATTTTATTTGTAGTTTGATAATCATATTTCATATTATAAAAAATATTTAATAATTGAGCATTACATATAATTTTAACTTAGTATTGCGCAAAAAGTAAGTCAACCAAAAATTAAAAAATGACCAACAAGAGTACGTCAACTTGATGTCGCTTAAGGAGTTAAGGGAGGTCTCGGATTCGAGCCTCACCGTATGCAAAAATTCTTGTTAGGAGACTCACCCACCATAAGTTAGGTGTGCTAGCCGAGTCGAATCCAAATGTAGTCTGAACTAAGCTCCGGTAAACCAGGTGTACAACTAAAAAAAAAAAATTGAAAAATGTATGAACACTTCATATTTTAGGCACTTCGTATCTAATCTCTTTACCACTTATTTATTTGTCACATAAACAAATTCTCAAAATTTCATATCAAATCAATTTATCAAAAGATGGGGTGTTGTGGAGATGAAGAGGAAGACAACCTCCTCCACCAACCCCTTATCTCATCGGAAAATCTCGAAATCACCGCCAAAACCACCGTAGAATCCACCATTTCTCCGATGAATTCACACTTTTCCGCCTTAATTTGCCGCGACATCCTCCGAATCATCTTCCAGAAGCTTCCGATCGCCGACATAGCTCGCGCTGCCTGTGTTTGCAGGACTTGGGGTTCCGTCGCTTCTGATAGGGACATTCAAACGACGTCGTTTAAGGCGCCTTGGAAATTGAAGGAGATTGTCGGTGATCCGATTTCTGGAAGTTTCTGGAGAGATAATAGTTTGAATAAGTTCGCCATTTCTCATCGTATTCGTAGCGGTGATTCCGTTGCTAGCCTCGCTGTCAAGTACTCTGTTCAGGTTTTGTCTCTCTTTCTCTTTATTTGCTTGTTTTGATTTGTTCTTGTAAATTGTGTGTGCATTAACTTAATATTGATTACACTGAACGACGCGTGATTTTGATGCTAATAGTTAGCCTCGAGGGTTGCGTGTATCAAAACTGATTATGTATGGATTAATTTTATTGCCAATCTAGTTAATTGGTTTCTTGTTAGTATTTGATGATTTTTATGAATGGCAATGGTTTATGAATTGCTTGAATAATGAATATTATATTATTTGAATTTAGTGGTATATTTGAATTGATTTAGTATAGATTGACTGAGTTTTTATGTGTAATGAATGAATGTGTTTTGGAAAATATGTTAAAAAGATAAGTGGGATTGTGGAGGGAATTTTGATAAGTTTGTAGAATGATGATAAACATGAACAGTTAGTAGAGATTGTTGTTGATAAAAATGTTGTGCTGCTTGAAAGTCGGTGTGTTATGCTGAAAAAGATTATTAATTTAATAAAAGAAAGTGTGAGAAATGGCTCAAATTTGTGGAGGGTAGTGTGGTTCAGTTGCAAGCAGAATTCATGAGCTTGTGTAGTTAGTTATTGTGAAGTTTGTGGAATCGCGAGTATCTTATTGAAAGTAGATTTGGGTGCATACTTTTTTTGGCTTTTGTTTGTCTTGCTGTTTGAATGGGTGCCTGGTACTCTGGTAGGTGATTATCGCTGCACATTGTGGAGGTTCAAGGCTGTAATGTTTAGGCGACGGTTGGGGCCTTGAGAGGAGCTTACTTACTAGTGTAGTTTGTATGTAAAGGGGATGTCTTGTGACAATTGATAAGACTTGGGATTTTATATGATGTTTGCAAGAATGGATATTTAGTGAGGTTAATTAACAGCAATTGGCAGTTGAGATAACTTTCTAGCAATTATGCTGAAATATACACCTGCTCAGTTGCTCCTATGAGATTCTGTTTTAATTTATCTGATAAATGTGGGCTTACCGGTTTCTTGAATCAGTCCAGACTTGAGCAATAATCAGCTAGATAGAGATTACGATACCATCTTCCAATAGCAATAGCCATAGCATAGGTTATGAAAGATTCCTAGATGGTTGGTGTTTACATCGTATTGGAACTTTCAAAGTGATTTTTGCTATTATTTTTTGTTTTTTGATGGGCATTCCATGACCAGAATGGAAGATGATACCCTTAGTCCTTAGAGCGTGACCATATATGTATAACCTGTTTACTAACTTGAATCTCAGATATCATTCGACCTTGATCGTCTTCCTTTGTTTTCTTTCCCATAACTATAAATGTATGGCTACTGTCTATTCCTTAGTTAGTGCTACTTTTGTGGTATTACATTACCAGTTTACAATGTGGGAATAGGCCCTTTTGCCAGTCTTCTCTCTACTTGTTGAGTAAGTGTTTTTGTGTGGATCCTTGAAGAAGCAGTACTGAATTGAGAAAATTTTGATAGGAGGGTGATTAGGGTGGCAGTGTTGCTGTTTTGATGATCGGATAGCGAGTTAGGCTGGTCATAGATAATGCAGTATAGCATGGGATAAACTCCTCCATAGGCATAGATGTTGTAAATAGTCAAGACCTCTAAGCTTGCTGGAGAAGTGATGACTTTCTGAGTATGTTGAAAATTGAAAAGAGCAAAGTTAATTTCTGTAAAGTTCTAGTAAGTACATCTTATTGGAATGCCCTCAGATGTATATGAAATAGAGAGCATTGTGCAATGGGGTTTCTGAGCATTGAAGGATTTATCTAGATCTTGGTATATATTTCCATGCTACTCCTTGTGGAAGCTTTATCCCATGCATACTGTTTCCTGGCACTCTGCTCTTTTGGTGTGTCCCATGGCCTCCAATATCCAATGTACCTTATACATATGTTTGATAAAATGATACCTGCCTTCCAGGGGCATAACTATTAGCAAAAAGGTTATGGGGCACATCAAATCATGTAGAGGAAAGAGAAAGTAGGTTAATTCAGAGGATAGAGAGAGGGAGTGGAGAGGGGGGATGAATTCCATAAAAGGGCAAAGCTATTATTACACATGCTTTTAGAAGATAGTAATCACAGGACATACACCATTATAATTACTTGCACCATTATTTATTATTGGGACTTCTATGACCGGAGTGCCTTTTCCAGTTTACCATCTTTTGTCTTGTGGAATAAGTGCTTGACATATCTGCTGCAGTTGGTAATTTTATCTCTCATGGACATCCAGGTTATGGACATAAAACGACTGAACAACATGATGAGCGACCATGGGATATATTCAAGGGAAAGGTTGCTCATTCCTTTGAGCAATCCAGACATCCTTATCAACAGTATATGCTACATAGAGCTTGATGTGTATGCAAATAGAGAAGCAGCAGTCTTGTATCTGGAGGGAGGTCCACCCGAGAATAAGTTTAGCTGCTCCACTAGTAGAGCAACCTCAGAATTGGCTAAGAAAAGAGTGATCGAATCTGTTAGGAGGAGCCTGCAGGTCGATGATGAGATTGCTCGGTACTATTTATCTATAACCGATGGAGATCCTCGATCTGCACTCTCCGAATTCTCTGAAGACCTTAGCTGGGAAAGGCAGACAGGTCTAGCCTAGTTGAACAGAAAGCTAGCCACTGCTAGAGCAAAGGCTTGGTCACATTTCTACAAACCCTTATTGTCAGTCCTGTGTGATTCTATTCAGAATCCAGACCTTGAAACACTACTCACAGAATTCAAATTACAATAATTTTCATAGTCATTGCTGCGAATCTGTTTGCCTACGATCAGCTCTAAATGGCAAGTAGATATCATATTACTGGAGTTTGTAAGTTTATTACTCTGTAAATTGTAAGTTCCTATAGTAAATTAATCTGGCTTTGTCACACAAAATAACATACTATGACAAGGCCAAACAATTATTCTGTATAGTGTATGCATTTACTTTGGTACTAAGTAAGCAGTAATTTGGTTGTATTTGTTGCCTAGAAACTGTAAAATTAAGATATGGAATTGTGTGAAATCTGGGTTAATTCTTATACTGTAGTTATCTCTTGAGAGCCGCCTCTTTTCCACCACCCAGGAATAGAGCACATGAAAAGTACTCAAATACAAGCAAAGGTAATAAATTGCTGATGAGAAGAATATTATGATTGCCATTTGCCAACATTTTTAGGAAACGACAAGTGTTTACACCATGACAGCAGTACCCCTGTTTTATATAGAGTAGCAACAATATAAAAATACTCCGGCTAAATTTAAATTTAATTGTCACACTTTTTTTTTTTTTTTAATTTATTTATTATTGTTATTCTTATCATTAATCTTTTGATATGAACCAACTATATATTATACGAATTATTACTTTGATCTAATACTAAAAGTTAAGAAATTTTATGTTCTCTCTCACTTAAATAATTCCTCCTATCTCACCTATAGAAAAGTATCCATTTAAGGAGTTTTAAACTTCTAATATTAAGCTAATCAACTCATCGTACAGATAAGGGTGAGCAACACAAGGTACACTATCAAAATTTCTTGGAATCAAAATCCAATGTTTATGTAAGTTTTTGGAAATGAGAATTGGGGCCAAAATCAAAAGTTGCAATAGGATCTGAAAAATAAGAATTGAAATTAGAACTATTTGATACGATTATTTATATACTTGAATAAAAAAAATACCTATTTTTAAAATTGCAGAATATATAATTTAGATACTTAATCAATTTATTATTCTAATTAGATGAAATTTCTTCCTTTTTCTATCTTTCAAAAAAATTAAAAAAAAAAACTGTTCCATCTAGTAATATTAAACTTTTTATTTGAAAAGTATTGTAAAAGTATATTTCCCCCGTTCTTTTTTACTTGACCCGTTTTAACTTTTGTACTATTTATCAATCCATTTTTGACCGTCTTTTTTGAATTATAGGTAAAGAAAAACATATTCATGTAGGATCTTGTTAGAATCGTAAGTACTATCACAATATATAACTTTTATAATTTTACTTATAAAATATTAAAATTATTGATGGTAAAACTTGTGCATTGGCAAACGTGATAAAAGAAACAGGCCAACTAAAAAAGAACAAAGGAAGTATGACAAAGACACAAGAGGTTGTTATATACACTTAGGTATACCGTATTCTCAATTAGACAATTATTCATGAGTATTTTATTTTCATTTTGATGATTGTTTTTTTTATTCAATCATCAAAAACTAACTTCAGATAAGCTGAGTGTACAATAAATTCGGGTTAATATAACAAATTTTACAAAAACAGACATTAATATGAGCATTTCTTACTAAGTTTAATTTTTAACTCTTATATGTAACCCCTAGCCTGTAACATTATCCTTTAAAAATTACACACATGAGATGATGAGAATTGAGATAAGCCTAACAAAATTTAACTGAAACCAACATTTTATCTATTTATGAATACAAAAATTACGGTAAAGCAGTAGAAAGTCAAATTTGGTACGTCGTAGAGAGTATCGTATCACAGTGATGTACCAAACGAGCACAAGACAAGACAACAGGTAGCGCAGCAGATGGCTTAACGTGGTACAATGGTAGGTGATGCTGCCACATACTTGTTTTTGCATGCTCTTTCCTAATACTATTCAGCCACGCATTTCTGTCACCATACCTTCCTCCTTCCCTCTTTCTCTTCCCCCATTTTTTAAATTTAATTTAATTAAATAAATATACTCATTCACTCACTCACCATTATCTCTTTATAAAACCACCTTTCTTCCTTTCATCCCTCTTCAATTCATTCACCACTACAAGTACATACCCTCTTCTTAACCCCTTTTTTTTTGTTGTGATAATAATTGTTGTTTGTAAAAATATTTCTTATAATTTTGTGATGGGGAGTGTTTGTGCTGAGCACCACCACCATTACAAGTTCCACTCTTTGATTTCGCCTAAGAAAGCCCTTCAAGACCTTAATATTCCTCCCAGGAAGCTCCTTTCTCGCCGAAGCGACGCTTCGTCTGCGTCGTCTTCGGATTATTTCTCGCCTTCGTCTGAAGCGGCTACTGCTATGCTGCACAAGTTTCTTCCTTATAATAGTAATAATGGTGGTTCGTCTTCGTCTAATGGAGATGGTGGTTCCGATGGTGGAGGAGGAGGTGGTGGGTTTGACCCGGATGATGACCCGTACTCGTCTGACGAGTTTCGGATGTACGAGTTTAAGGTGAGGAAGTGTACTCGTAGTCGGTCCCATGATTGGACCGACTGTCCGTTCTCCCACCCTGGGGAGAAGGCTCGTCGTCGTGACCCGAGACGGTTTCATTACTCGGGGACTGTTTGCCCCGAGTATCGCCGCTCGGGGAGTTGCTCACAAGGCGATGAGTGTGATTTTGCTCATGGTGTATTTGAGTGTTGGTTGCACCCCGCGAGGTACCGCACCGAGGCGTGTAAGGACGGGAAGAGTTGTAAGCGTAAGGTGTGTTTCTTTGCTCACTCGCCTCGTGAGCTTCGGGTCCTTCCCGCCGAAGAGGATGGGGACGAGAAGGATGGTTGCACTCAGCGAGGAAAGCAAGATCAACAACATCATCATCATCATCAACAACATTGTTGTAGGTATTGTTGTGCACTTTCTCCTACTTCTACTTTGTTAGGATTATCCAACTTCTCCCCACCAATGTCACCCATGAAAGCGGTTGGGGCACGACCGCTTTCTCGGTACTCGGACCGAGTGTCTGCATGTGGTAGTAAGGGTCTTAGTTATGAGGATATGGTGATTGCTGAGCTTTTGGGTTCATTGGAAGGTATAAGCCTCAATGAGGCCATGAGCCCCAACAAGGCTAGTCATGTTCAAGGACATGGTCATGGTCGTGGTCTATGGGTTGATGTGGGTGGTTACGAGTCAGGGTCCGGTATTGTCCCTGGGGACGAATACCAACAACAACAAGAATACCACCAACAACAACAACAACAACAAATGCAATTCTCTCTTTCGCCTTCAACACCAATAAGGAACCGTTTTTTCAATGCCAACAACGAATCCGTTGTTGGCGGTCTCATTGATGAAAGTCCGGACATCGGGTGGGTAAATGATCTTCTAATGTAGATGTTGTTTTCTCTATATATAAATATGGATCAAAGATGAATGAAGATAATATCAAGTGATAATAATAATAAAAATAAGTCTATGTAAATAACTTAGACGGATTATGGATGTTCTTTTGGTATTATGATGATGATGTGCCTTCTAGTAGGAAAGTTGTGTATTGAAGATAGACTAGAAGGGAATTTTCTATGTAATATTTTTTTGTGCTTGATCTTTATTTAGATTTTAATTAATCCTTCGGATTTGTATTTTGATTTTTCCCACGAATTTCTATATTATTATTATTATTATTAGGACTACTTTTCCAATGTGTATGTAACAATAATGGGTGGATTTGTAACTTCAAAATTTCAATGCTGCTTTATTTTGTTGGCAGGTGTAATGTTTCTGGTGCATTTTGCATGGTGATGTCTACAAAGTAGTATGGTTCATATTTTGTAATTCATGGCTGTTATAATAATTTACTGAAATTTATTTTGTGATTTCTGGTAACTTTTGTTTTGTTTTTTTTTTTTTTTTTTGAATAGTTCTAGTAACTGATTTATGCAAGGTAAAAATGATCTATTTTACTTGTATATATCAATGGGTTTATTCATAGCAATAATTTTAGTTTTATCACGTGAATAGTAAATGGGACAACATAAACAAAAAGAATAGTATACGAGTTTTATCGCATTAAGTAGTAAATGGGACAAACAAGAATGAACATACATAGTACAATTTGGTTGGTAGATTTGTGCAAATGATCCAATTTGATAATTAATTACAGTGTTGTTTATTTATAAATTTGATGATAAAGTTTATGATTTTGGAGAACATTTATGAAAAATGTCCAAATGATTCAACAGTTTGCATGCTTATATATCTACAATAAAACAATCGTCATGACAACATAGAATTTTGCTCATTTGTGTAAATGACATATCGAAGAATAATCTGAAAGTATGTGCTTCAATTGAGTTTGCATCATATATATGTGCTTCAATTGTGATTTTGCATCATTGCAAGAAATTGGAAAACCGAGGTCGAATGCACCGGAAAACAACCCTACCACCCACACACCGTCCGGCGGTTTCACACAATTTCTGGTGTAGCTGGTGCATAACAGATGACTTGCTGCTGTCAATATCGCCAATGATGGATTCTATTTTATTCCTTATTGTACATTGTTGATGATAATGAAGGCTACCTGCTCTGCAAAGCTACCAAGGAGAAGTACTTTCTTTGACATGCTTATCTAGAATTCTAGATATGAGCATTTTTTTTTTTGTTTGTTATACTTAGAATTCTAGCTTATACTTATTCTAGATATGAGCTATTTTTCAATTTACTTCATTGGCTTAGATGAAAAGGGTATTTAGTGTATTTTTTTTTTACAAACCTCAAGGGCATATAGTGTATTTCAAGGTTTTCAGGGATATGCATTTTTCAAAAAGGGTACACGGAATTATTTCCATAACTAGACATGTTCAAAAGGATGGATTAGGGTCGGACCTTAATTAAATGGGCCAAGTTGGACTAGGGTCAAGGTTAATCTAAAATGGGTCGGGCCAAGGCTAGGGGTAAACCTATACAAATGGACGTGTCCCCACTAGAACCCCTGATCCAGTCTTAAATTAAACAAGGTCGGGCCGGAACACTATATAAAAGAGGCAAGCTTTTAAATTAAAAAGGTTATAAAAAGGCTTGAAAAAGGGTTATGCTTTGTAAAAAAATTTAAATGGACCTGGTTTTCACTACTTTATTGTGAATATTAGACAATATGATTGTTTTATTAATTAAAAAAAAAGTCACTATATCCCTACCTTATAAAAAGTAGAAAGTTGTTCTTATGAATAGTGCACAGACTTTTATACCCTTCAAAATGTTATTTTACCTTTGTACCCCTATTTACCCTTCAAAATGTATTTTACCTTTGTACCCTTATTTGTAATTTTGTACTCCAATAGTCCAACTTCAAATTGTTCTTACCCGTCTACATTTCCTTACACATTTGAGCTTTCTCTCCTCCTCTCCATGGCTCCATCTCTTTAAAACTTTTAAATTTCTCTCTCCACACTATCATAGCCATTTCCAAGTACTAAATTCCACATCTTTGTTCATCACCTTCCCAAAATTCCCAAATCAAATTGTGGCAAAAAAAAAATGACAATACCAATATATAGCAGTTGTTTAATATTGTTAGCCTCTGTGGTGGATTAGGAATTGGTCGTGTTGGTTTCATCATTGATGATTCTTTCTCTATTTCGTATTGTACCACCACAATTAAGTAATGCTAATATCAACACTGCGAAAATAAACAAACAACAATTCTAACATTTGTTCCTTTTCTGCATTATCATTGAAAAACCTAAGAATTATATTCTACAGTGACTCTACATAGTATTTCAATTAACAGAATCACCATATACAAATAGGAAAATAAAGATTTTTTCAATATAAGAGATATTTCACACATAACATTCAACTCAGCACGACTACAAACAAATAATGCCTAAGCAATAGAAATACTACCTCCGGTTCAATGTACTCGCAACAAAGGGGTATTATTTGCGAGACATAAAATATTCTTTTGTTGCGAGTAAATTGAACCAGAGGTAGTATATTCCTTTGCCGGTCTTTTATTCCTCCATGTGAAGTGCAAACACAAGACAAGTAAAATTAAGTTGCAAAGGCTAGCCATTCCGCGCGCAACGCGTGCGTTGGCTGCCCTAGTTAAAATAAAGGTTTTCATAGTATGACATTATAAAAGCTATAAGAGGTTAATTTTTTAATAAAATTTGTAATATAATGATCAATATGGATAATAAAGATCACTATGTTAAAATTAGGTCATTATTCAACATAATGTCGTTCTTTAAGTTCATAATAACATTAAAGGTCACACAAGTTTTTTAAAAATGTTACTATGTTAAAAATAAGGTTACTATATTAAATTAGGGGTCACTATGTTGAATATAATGCCAGTTACGTGTGTAATTTTGTATAAACCTTAGGTCTACGTACAATAATATTATTGTGACCAAGTCTACGCAAGATATTTTGTACACTTTGAGGGCTTTTTATCCTCTATTCTAACTTTCTCTCCTTGGAAAATTAACCAGTATGCAATGTAAACATCTATCTATATATCTACCTATACGTATTTAAAAACACAAATCATCATCCCTATCATGTCACATGTAAAATATTTTTTTTACCAACGCCAAATGTCACCTCCTTTCATTAATTAATCCCATTTCTTATATTTTAATAAAAAAAAGAACTAGCTAGCCTTAGTTCAATATATGTATGAATGTTATTTAATTCATTTTTCCCTCTTAATATCTTCTACAATTACATTTAATTTTGACCCCGTCTTCTCCTTTATTTTTTTTGGTGTTCCACCTGGTTCACCCTTTGGGCTAATTCGGATTCGGAGATCAGTTCTGGGTGGTTAAGTTCCAGTCCCCTCCCGATTGTTGTTGCGGGGGGTCGAACACGAGTCCTCCCTATCAAGTGTAGTCTCAATCACCACTACACCAACAACCAATTGGTCCCGTCTTCTCCTTTATAAACTATTCATATTCTAATTTAAACATATTATAAAATTACTAGGGCGGCCTAAGCGCGCGATGCGCACCAAGGAGTTAGCTCTTGTAGAGAAGTTGTATTGATGTGTATTTACACCTTTGGTTTTAGTGGTAGACCTGCTAGTTTTAATACGTACTATTTGGTGTATGTGCTTATGTGGTGACTTTGTAGAAGTATAAAAAAGCCACCAAAATCTTTTATGACAATTATTTTTTGAAATCCTTAAAAGTTTGACACTGTTATTTCAAAATAATTATTAAATAATATTTATTTGATTTTGATCCCTTCATATCTTAAACTATTGTTAATTTAGAACTCTTAATTAATTTGCATGATTCAATAATACCTAGCGTATTTTTTTTAAAAATTTTTTTGAGCCTTTGGTCATATAGAGTAATAATATGTGAAATATTTGTTTTATGTCATAACTTAATAATCTAAGTTTTTTATTGTTCTACGACAATCTAATATCTATATCTATGTCTAATACTAAATCAATAACCACTTAGTTAGTTATATATATTTTTTTTCCTCGTGAATTCTCTCCATAATTAATCCTCCGTACCATTCTATTTTCCCCCTTGATTTTAGGATTTTCAAGTTCTTTACACCTTTTAATAACATCTGCTTAAATATTACTATTTAATATGAATCTCATTCAAATTCCATAATGTTATTTACGTGCCATCAAACAATGTACAATTCAAAAGCTAATAAACCTTAACAATAATATTGCAATTAAAGGACGACAAGATTGTAAATAAGAAGAGCAACCACGAGGAGTAAATATATACAGTCTCTTGGTAATAAACATTCTCTTCGTAAATTCAATATTTTTTTTTTTGTCATTTTATATAACAAGAATAACATATGAAGGTAATTTTTATATTAAAAAAAGGCATTACAAGTTTTTGTTGAAAAAAAAATTGAATTAATTGATGATATGTTTAATAAAAAAAATTATTAGATATATTAATGAGAGCAAACATATATATTAATGATGGTAAAAAAGTAAATACACATTTTTGTAGAGGGTATAGTTGGTAGCACACTATTCTTAAGAGTTATCTTCTACTTTTTATAAGATAGGGATAAGGATATAGCCCGTGCATTGTTTGGGCCTGAAGGTTGGTTGGTCGCAAATAATAAGCTGCACCATGGTGCACTTAGAAATAGGTGCACCACGCCTATACTTTTGAACATTTAGTAAAAAAAATCTGAACAATTGTAAATTTTGAACATGTAGTAAAAATATCTGAACATCGCAAATTTTGAACATTTAGTTAAAAAAATCTGAACAATCGCAATGCATCACACCTATACTTTTGAACATTTTAGTAAAAAAATCTGAACAATCGCGAATTTTGAACATTTAGTAAAAAAAATCTGAACATCGCAAATTTTGAACATTTAGTAAAAAAAAAAATATGAACAAATGCAATGCACCACACATATACTTTTGAACATTTAGTAAAAAAATATGAACAATAACAAATTTTGAACATTTAGTAAAAAAAAATATGAACAATCACAAATTTTGAATTATTGCAAGACAAACAAATTTTGAAAAAAGTTTGTCTAACTCGTAATATTCAATAGTTTTGTAATATAAACTGAACATTTACAAAATGAACATTTCTTTATAAAATATGAACATAAAAATTGCATTTTTATGTTCATTTTTTGTGACGTGTTCATATTTTTGTAAAATGTTCAAAAAAAATTCACTAAATGTTCAAAAGTATAGGAGTGGTGCACCTATTTCTAGGTGCACCATGGTGCTCATAATACTAATTGGTTAATTGGTCCCAACGTAGATGCTGATTTTCTTACTCGGAGTACTGTGTTAAGAGAAGACTTACCTAATCTTTATATCTTTCTTTCAAATAAAATTAAAATAAAATTCTCTCATGTATTCACCGTCGAAGCAGCTACTGAGGTAAGTTGTTTCTTTTTGTAATCAATCATATCAATTTAAATGTATTTGTTAGTGCAGTAAGTTTAGGGTTCGACAGTTTGATAATCTTATCAGTTTAGGGTTCTTTTTTACTAAGATTATGAAAGATCATAACCCAGCAAATTATGTTGGTAGACAAGAAATTAAAAATAAGTTCCCTTAAAATTATTTATGTATTTTTCAAGCCTTAATTGATAATTGAATCAAATTTGGTTGCTAATGTATTGCAAGACCCTTTAATTTTAGGATTAAACTATGAAATTATACCTCATATTTTTTGTTGTTTTCTCTCAACAGAATGTCAACTTTAACCCCAGCGTTTGCTGAGCTGCATATTGGATCACCTCCTCGGCCTCAGGATGAAGAACTAAGTGACATTAACTTGTAAAGTTTTATTTTTTTGTCAGGAATTAACTTTCCGTATTCCCATTAGAGTATAGCAAGCGTATATATATACAAACTAACAAAGTAACTAGGGCACATGAGATAGGCCCGATAACTATACATGTACACAATAATAGGCCCTAACACCCCCCCTCAAGTTGGAGCATGCAAGTCACAAATGCCCAACTTGCCAAGTAAATACAAAAACTTATTTTTGCTCAATGCCTTAGTAAAAACATCCGCTAATTGATCCGTTGTCTTCACATACGACGGACTAATGATGCCTTCCTGAATTGCGTCCCGAACATAATGACAATCAATTTCAATATGTTTCGTACGCTCATGAAAAACAGGATTTTGGGCAATGCATAACGCAGACTAACTATCACAAAAGAGACTCATTGCCTGTGGATGTGAAACCCCTAAACTCTCGAGCATGGCTTTCAACCATTTCAACTCATCAGTTGCTTTAGACATCGACCGATATTTTGACTCTGCAGAAGATTTAGCAACCGTATCTTGTTTCTTAGTCTTCCAAGAAACAGGAGAATTACCGAGAAACACCAACCAACCAGTAATGGAACGTCTTGTCAAAGGACAACTAGCCCAATCCGCGTCACACCAACCTGTAATGTGTAAATCACAATCTGAGCTCAAAAGGATTCCCTAGCCCGGACATCCTTTCAAGTATCTCACCGTACGGAAGGCAGCCTCCCAATGATCCTGTCGCGGTTGTTGCATAAATTGAGACAAGATATGCACCGCGTAAGCCAAATCCGGCCTAGTAAAAGACAAATAAATCAAACGACCGACAAGACGTTGATACTGCTCAGGATCAGAAATAAGAGGGGATTTGGATTTTTCCAGAGCATGATTTTGCTCAATAGGAGTACCTGCCGGACGAGACACTAGAAAACCCGACCCTGCAATAATATCAAGTGTATACTTCCGTTGACATAAAAATATGCCTTCCGGACTACGGGCAACCTCAATACCAAGAAAATATTTCAACACACCCAAATCTTTCATTTGAAAACAGGCACTCAAGTACGATTTGAATGTGGAAATAGCAGAAGAGTCATTACCAGAGATGATTAAATCATCAACATACACCAGAACACTGAGTTGAATTGAACCAGATTGCAGAGTAAATAGTGAGTAGTCAGAGTACGATTGCGGAAACCCGTACCTTTTTAGAGAACCGGCCAATTTGGAAAACCAGCAACGTGGGGCTTGTTGAAGACCATATAAAGACTTCCGAAGGCGACAAACCTTACCGGGTTGAGAACCATGAAAACCAGGGGGAGGCTTCATATAGACCTCCTCATCAAGATCTCCGTGAAGAAAAGCATTGTGAACATCCATTTGGTGCAATTCCCAATTCTTCGCAGAGGCAACAGCTAGAAACGCACGAACGGTGACCATCTTTGCAACTGGAGCAAATGTCTCGTTATAGTCGATGCCTTCGACTTGATTGTTCCCAAATATAACAAGACGTGCCTTCAACCTTTCAACGGTGCCATCGGAGTTAAGTTTAATTTTGTAGACCCATTTGCACCCTAGAGCTGTCTTCCCGGGAGGTAAATATTCCATCACCCAAGTTTCATTATCCTCCAAGGCTGTAATTTCTTTCTGCATTGCGTCACGCCATCCTTCGCTTTTCATAGCTTCTTTAAAATTACGGGGCTCAACTTCCGTATCAATAGCTGCAATAAATACACGGTGTGCTATAGAAAATTTATCACAATTCACAAAGTGTGCTAAAGGATAAGGAGTACCTGAGGAGCAAGGAGAGGATGAACTAGGAGATGGACTCGGAATAGATACAGTATGTGCGACGTAGTCACGATGCCAAGCCGGAGGACGACGTTCACGATCACCACGACTAAGATGAAGAGAGGAACTAGCACCCGTAGAGGTGGCAGCAGCTGCCACGGGTTGTCCATGGGTGTCGGCAGCAGCCACAGGGTGGCCAGGGGCAGAGGCAGACCCCGTGGCAGAGCTGCTGGAAGCAGCTGACTCCGCGGCAGAGCTGCTGACAGACGAGGCAGTGGCTGCCGCAGGGAAGGCGCGGCCTGGACTGTGCACCGCGGAAGGACTACGGTCAGTGCTGTCCGGGCTTGGAGGATCAAGAGCATCCTCCCCGACCTGTAAAATGGCCTCTAAGTCATCCAAAAAATCCACATCCACCTAGTGACCTCTTCATTAGACACATGATGATCAATAGCAAAGGGAAACTCATTCTCAAAGAACTTAACGTCGCGAGACACAAAAATATCACCCGACTCTAGATCATATAGTTTCCAACCTTTCTTACCATGTGGATATCCCAAAAACACACATTTTCGACTCCTTGGGGAAAATTTATCACCTTTTGCCCGTTGATTATGAGCGAAACATAGACAACCGAACACACGCAATTCATCAAAATTAGGTTCACAACCAAACAAAAGCTCATATGGTGTCTTATTACCCAACAAACGAGTAGGAGTACGATTAATCAAGTAAACCGCACCAAGCACACATTCCCCCCAAAAGCCAATAGGAAGATTCCCTTGGAACATCAAAGCACGACTCACATTCAAAATATGTTGATGCTTGCGCTCAATACGCCCATTTTGTTGGGGAGTGCCAACACAAGAAGTTTGGAATAGAATGCCACGTTCATTAAAATACGGAATCATACATTTGAACTCCGTACCATTATCACTACGAACACATTTTACAGTATGAGTAGCTCGACTGTCACTATCAGGAAAACTATCACGAGTTTGTTTGGCTTGTGGACAAATATCACAAGCTTTATTCAAAGTTTTTCTATCAGAACTAGAACTAATAGCAGGAACTAACTTGACTACTCTGTCCGATGGGTGCCCCAGACGACGATGCCATAACTCAAAAGCAGAAAGACCCGGAACTGTCACCGCACATACTGTAGGTAGCCGCCGGAAGTAGTAGAGTCCATCTATTCGTTCACCGCCTCCAATCAGGCTCCCCGAGAGTTGGTCCTGTATAGCACAAAGAGAGTCAGTGAACCGCATAAAACATTGTGAGTCATCAATCAATTTTGAAACAGATATCAAATTGCAATTTAATTGCGGAACAAATAGAACGTGTTCAAGAATAATCCCATCCGCTAAAAATACACGACCCTCCTTAGTAGCAAGTGCATGAGCACCATCCGGAAGACCCACAGGACATAACGGAATAGAATTAACATCCATGAGAGAAGATTCGTCTCCGGTCACATGATGAGACGCGCCCGTGTCAATTATCCAAGAGCTAGAAAAATACTCACCCAACATTTTATCCTGTTGGCGGTTGGTGGCCATATTCAACAGAATTTTTGATATGCTCAGGTTGTAAATCAGAGAGGGCAGAAAGAGTATCTGGTGAGGGCGAAGAAGATACACCCCCAACAGCAATGGCACGCACCACTGCCTTGCCATGGTCAGTAGCAGCGTGGCGCGGAGCAGCAGCCGTCGAAGCAGAAGCAGACGCGGCAGACAGAGTAGCAGCAGGGGCAGAGCTAGAAGGTCTGGCAGCAGACGGCCCTCCCCCCTTTTTTCCATACTTCTCGAGCCACCAATCGGGATAACCGTGAAGCATAAAGCAACCCGAATTTTCATGTCCCGAGCGCTTGCAATGAGTGCAGTAAAGTTTAGATTTATCCACTCGATGAGACGATTGGACAGACTTTCGATCAAGGAGAAGAGCAAAAACATGAGCGTCCTCGGTTTGCGACTTCGATTGAGCAATGTTGCGGGATCGTTCTTCTTGAAGTAATGCTTGATATGCACGCTCAAGGCTGGTAGGAGGCTGTTGAGAAAGAAGATTGGTGCGCACCACAGAGTATTTGTCATCATCGATCCCAACCCAAAATTGATGCAACTTTTCTTCCTCCCTGTCCAATTCAATCTTGGCAGCCACATCACATTCACATTTACCACATTCACAGCCATGAGGGGGCTTTAATCGAAGAAGGTCACCATAATATCCCATGAGTGTGGTATAATACTCCTCAATCGACATTGCCTTCGTTTGCTTGCAATTTGTTATGGCCGCCCGCAATTGTTGAAGTCTTGGTCCACTTGATTCACAAAAGCGCTTTTCGAGATAATCCCAGAGTTTCTTGACTTCTTCAAAGTAGGGAATTGATGCAGCGATTTTGGGTTCGATAGCACGCAAAACCCATGACACCAACATTGAATTGACTGTTTCCCAGTCAAGAAGCTTCTTCTTCTCAGCAGGCTTGTTAATGGTGCCATCAACAAAGCCGAATTTCCTTCTAGATTTCAGAGATAGTGTGATTGCGCGAGACCACGCTAAATAATTATCACCCTTCAAGATGACATGAGAGATCAAATTGCCGGGTTGATCACCCGAACCAGGGTAAAAAGGAGAGGCAGAATCAATCTTGTCTTCCCCCATAATCGAGTAACAAATTGATTTAGAGATTTAGTGATTTAGAGATTGGCAGCGAAAGTAGAGATTTAGGGTTTAGAGGAATAGTGGCTCCGATACCATCTCAGGAATTAACTTTCCATATTCTCATTAGAGTATAGCAAGCGTATATATATACAACCTAACAAAGTAACTAGGGCACATGAGATAGGCCCGATAACTATACATGTACACAATAATAGGCCCTAACATTTTTCCCTTAAATGATTGTGTGATAATTAGTTTTAATTGCCTAAATGATATTCCGGAATAATCACTTTTGGTTAATGATTGACCTGAAAGATGAACCACCTGAAGGTTGTGATCTCGAATAATTTTGCTTGCGTTTCTTGGAAAAAGTCACCAGGTATTTTCTTGTTTATATTGATTGGATCATTTTGGACTACTTATGTTATGGATGAATGGATGATATTGCTTGGATCTTAGTAAAATATTTTCTTATATGAAAAAACAGAGCGATTCTTGCCCTGCCTCGAATTTCCCTTGTAATTGCACTCGAGCTAAGCTAATCAAGTGAATTTTCCAAACTAACACTTTTTTATGTTCATCTAAACAATGAACAAAGTTTTGAATGATCCTTGGTACTCGTATCGTATGCATGTGATGAAGCCAATCGCCAAACCTTGGTTTTATGCTCAATTTCTTTGGTGTTTCTTTTACTCCAGTGATCCTGCTACAGCTTACATAAGGGGCTCAATATCCAATGGTACCGTGCTCACAGCACTTCTTACTGATGATGAGTACGCAAAACTGAGTGATTAGTTTATGTCTTACTCTCTTTGTCGCTCTTGTGCATCTCTGATCTCTTCGAGTTTATTTATTTACTACCTCCGTTACTTATTATTTGCAACGATTTATGTCAAATCGTTGCAAATAATATATAATGGAGATAGTATTTATTTTGCATTTCATTCATGTTCATGTTTTTATGGTTTCAAGGAATGGATGAAGTAGCAGAAGCTGTACAATTTGTTAAGAAAGCTACTGAATTTTAGTGAAGAATGCTGGAGTCTTAGGGCTTATTCTCTTACGTTGAAATTCAGTTCAGTTCAGCTCAGTTCAGTTCGGTTCAGCTCAGTTCAGCTCAGTTCAGTTCAGCTCCTAATTTCCTTCTCGTATAAAATATTCATTTCAGTTCAGTTCAGCTCATTTCAGTTCAGTTCAGTTCAGCCGAGTTCAGTCAATGAGAACAGGCCCTTAGTAGCAATGTTATGTTGAAAGTCAGTTTGAACCCCTATTAATTTAAATGACTTTGTTTAGGAAATACCTAAGACTTAAAAAACAAACGGTCAGGACTGTTGTTGATGTGTACTTTTCCGTTGCCAAATATTGCTAGCAACAATAGCTGTGACGGAGGTTTTCTCTTGTTATATAACGGAATATTTTGTTGGCAAAAGCTAATGAAGTACGCCCCGGGGACGTTGGATAAGAAAGCTAAAAGTAGAAATTAGATTAAAATGAATATTAAACACCGATCGACACGTGAGGCATGCATTCCCAAATTAATACCACTTTCGAAAATATTTGGGGCGTTCGTTAGCAAGATTATCCTTTTTTTTTTTTTTTTTTTCTAGTTCAATCAACAGGAAGTATAATCGTTAGCAGTAGATTGTATTTTGCTAAATTTAACTTTTTTTATATTGTTTTTTTGGAAGATTAATTAAGGTAGGAATGAACTAATTCTTATTTTAATCTAATACATCAAACATGTGTGCCAAATTGGCAAAGATTTTTTAATTAAAGAGTACTTGACTGTGAAAATATTAAGTGAATTTTAATTTATATATTGCATACCTTAGTAACCTTACATTGTTAAGTTAGGTATTTAGTTGATGGGAAGAAGTTACAAGTAGTTTTTTATAGGTATGGAGTGAATTTTGGGTGATTGTTAGGAGATAGTGGGGAATTTTAAGGCACTTTTGGACAAGTAAAAGATGATATTGATTTTAGGGTGTGTTTTATTCACCTGATTTTCATTTATACAATTATTTTTTTTGACAAAAGATTTTCATTTATCTTAACTTAACTAAACTTATTATCAGAAATTATTTGAACTTATTAGACATTATTAAATCTTAATTTAGTACTACGTAGTAATTTAGTCTTGGGTAATCCTTATCTTAATTTATTTTTCTTGAACTCATCAACTTATCTAAACTTAATTGAATTTATTTAAACTTATTAAATTAAACCTGAAATAAGTGAAATAAGATGAACTGAACAAACCCTTAAGTTGTTATTTTATACGGATTATTAAATTAATAAAATACAATCATGTTCAAGTGGTTAAGATCGAGGATCTTGTTTGATCGATCACATAAATGAATCTTTATTTTCCATTTGTAATATTGTTGTTGCTCATTCAAAAAAAAAAAATGTCATCCACATATATGGTTATAAAGTCAACTTCAAAAGGTTGACAATTTGACATGTTAATATATCCATTGTACTTTTTTTTTTGAACAAAATATATCCATTGTACTTCGCATGTATTTAATGGAAGAGTTTGTCATGCATGTAAGCTAGGCTCTGTAATACTTATCTTATTTACACTTATTTTAGAAATTGAATAAGACAATTGCTAATGAATGCTTAATTCCGAGCCTTCATGTCCCAGTTGCAAAGAAAATATCAAAATGTTTTTTTTTTTCTTTGACAATATGAAAAAATGAGTATAATTTAATCAAGAGAATATTGAGAAATGAAGTTAACATATATTGCATTTATGATTTATCAACAAAAAAAATAAAAAATAAAAAAAATTGCATTTAGCCATTTAGGGCATTATTACCTTGGTTCAAAACTATGGAGTAGTTTAGTAAGTTTACCAATAAAAATAAGGTATTTATATTCAAACAAAGGTAGTATATTTACTTTGATCAAATGCCATTTAATTATTTACACAAAAACATGGAATAATTACAAAACAAAAAAAAAAAAAAAAAAAAAAAAAAAAAAAAAACACTCTAAAAAAATTCAAATAATAATACGGAGTGAGAAGATTATTAAATTGAGTGTGAACAATTAATAATTATCATTCATTTTCGACAAACAAATTAATTATTAAAATTTCCGAACAAATAAAATTTCAAAAATTAAGGTTAATAATTATCATGAATATATATGAAGAAAGTTTCAAAACAAAGTTTAATTAATAATTAGATATTATTTCACAAATGAAGTTTTGGTCTAGTGGTTAAGGTTACATTTTTTTTTTAAGTGTTTAGAGAGTAGTCACAAGGGCAGGGGTGAGAATCGATCCCAAATCTCTTCGAATCGGGAGGAAAACTCTAAGCACTTGAGCTATCCCTCACTCTCAATTAGGGAGAAGAAGAAAGAAAAATAGAAAAAAAAAATTATATTTTGTATTTCCTTAGCATTATGAACTTACAGCCTTCAAGTTCTCATATAAATAGGATATTTATTACAAACAAAATACTTTATCAAAATTCTAATTGATTCCCTGAAGAACGATTTCCCTATAAATTGTTTAAATTAAAATTAATTCTCACTTTGGGTCGTTTTAAAAACAAATTCCCTATACGGTGTCCACGTAGGATCGGGTCACTAATTTTTTCAAGCATTTTTTAATATGTAAACCGCTAGTGGCAATAACGGTTTTATCATTAAAACCGCAATCACCATTGGCGGTTTATTAATAAAACCGATCCTACGTGGACACCATCTAGGGAATTTGTTTTTAAAACGACCCAAAGTGAGAATTAATTTTGATTTAAACAATTTCTAGGGAAACAGTTCCATTCCCTGAATATAAGCCACTAAATAAGGGTCCAAATTATGACAAACTACTGATGATTTAACAATTCTCCTGTTTTTATTTTCAAATGAAAATTGCGAGATGAAAGAAAATGTAAGCCTCATATATTTATGTAGTTGTCCACACGTTCAACTTTGATGTAGCTCGGCAGCTCGCTGTTTACTCGTAACTTGCAATGTTAAAACACTTCTGTTTGGGTCCAATTTAGTCCAATTGGGCCTGGTCACTGAATGATCCAATTAAAAGCCCAAGGTTAAGGTTCAACTCTCCAAATGTGCTAAAGTCAAAAATCAACATCCTCAAAGCCATGTCAAGGTCAGTCAACGGCCCAATCAGCTTGGCCCAGCCCAACTGACTTCCGGGCCCAATCCGCCTCCTTCATTAGCCAAGGTATAAAAGCCAACAATTTGGTCAATTCTTGGTAAGACAATAAAGCCTCAAGCAACTAAACTCTTGCACAGCTTTCTCTCTCTAATTTACTGACTTAAGCATCGGAGGGGCCTTCCTCGGCGTCCCCCCCGAGGCTAGTTTACGTGTATTTGTTGTGCAGGAAACCCTCGGCTCCTGCGTCGTTCGGACCGAGACCAAGTTCCCTCAAGATAAAAGGATCTTCCGAGATTCGATTGTTTTCATCCGAAACAATTTGGCGCCGTCTGTGGGGAACGCTACTAAATTTCGCGTCAGTCATCAAACACTCCGGCAGTCGCCATGACTAAGAGTGGAAAGAGTTCCAAGAAGGCTAAGAAGGGAGGAGGCCGGATTACGGTGAGGGAACGCCAGCCGGTTTATCCCTCCCCGGAGCAAGCCTCTTCCGAATCGGAGGCCCCCATTTCTCCGGAAAGGGAAGCCTCAAGAGGTCCTAGCCTCCAGGAGGAGAACACCTCGCACCACACTCGGCAGCCGGGGCCATCCCCGAGACCGAGTGGCTCAGGTGCGAGGAACTCCCCGCCGCGCCATAGCGTGCAATCCAGGTCACATCCGCGGGAGACTCCTCCCTCCGGACCCTCCACCGAGGAAGTGGCCAGAGCAGTGGCCATCTGCATGGAGTTCCTTAAAGCTCAAGGGGCTCCAATCCAGATGCCTGATGATCACCAGCCGAGAAACCTGAAAAGGAGGATCGGTCAGGATGATGGTGGACAAGTTCCACCACATAGAGAGCTCGGCCAGAGGTGGCGAGGGGACACCCGAAACTCCAGTAAGGAGAGGAGGAGGAACCCTCAACCCTCTGACCACTCTGAAGCTCAGAATTCCATGGGGCCCTCCAAGGACCCGGAATTCGCCCGCCAAAGCGTTCACGAACGCTTGGGTTCGAGGGAGGTGAGTGTGCATAGCCGCCTCACCTTCCCAGAGGATACCGGACCCCACCCAACCT